AAGTACCTTAAGTGATACAGAGTCACATGCTATGATGACAAAAAGTCATAAGATCATTATATATTGGCGCATTTCCTATTTGCAAGTGAACTGTATATAGACGTACCGTAGTGTAGTTTAATTACTGCTACTGCCTCTAGTGGCCGGCTCTTGTCTAGTTTGTCCTATGGCTTGACAGGCTATGCCTATCACTCTTTCATTTCTTAAATACTTAATTACTGAAACTCGCATGACTAATTTGAAACTGATTCAGTACTTGTGTTTCAGTCATTCTCTAGTCCAAGTTAGCATTTTTTATATTATTAAACAAATCTGGATGAAGTCTGTCTTAGTCCTTATATTGGCTTTCGGAAATCGGAATATACATAATATGTGGTTAATTAATGCTCAGCAACAGGACTCTGCAGCTCAGCTGGGGTCGGCCGGTTCACTTGGTTGTACGAAACCGAAGGCGAAGGCTGGATGGCGGCGCTATCTACTGGATATAGTGATTTTTTTCATCGGTTGTAAAAATGCCATTTAAAAAGTAATAAAACTACGTACGAACATGACCCGCAATTAACAAAAAAACTTTAATTTTTATGTACTAAAGCTTAATCAGGGTTATACTTATACCAGGGCACCAGTCAACGCGCCAACGGCCAATTGAAAAAAGCTTGAAAAAAGCTCTACTATCCAGGTCCCAGTGGCCAGTGGGTTGGAGCGCCGCACTGGATCGCAGGTTCGATTCCAGCAATAGTTGAATTGCATTCTAATTAATCTCGATATTTACCTGGTAATTTGGGTAAATATCAAGACTTTTTTGTTTTTCGTCTTTAAAATTTGAAATATCTGTATGTCACACAATATGATCAAAATTGTGAAAAAAATATTAACTGAGCTGCATCACCGTGTAGCATAATAGCTGTATAATTATATAAAGACTAAATCTGTTTAAGGAGAGTAGAAAGTTCATGCTGAAACTGAAAGCGAGTTCATTTGCAAAAACTTCTTTGTCGTATAGTCAGACATGATTTCCACATCATGAGCAAGCACACTTGTTTTTCCGTATTTGGAAGAATGACTATATGACTAATAAAGGATGAAAAGAAGGCTGAATGCCAATTCCATTTGGGTAAACTTCAAAACCTGTCATCTCAAGATTAAAGTTGTTGAGCGAAATAGGTCGAGCGGGGCATAGTTTATAGTTTTTTCTCATTATATTAACTATGAGCGGGGCAAGTTTACTTAGAGAGGTCAGATTCATAATCTTCATAGTCAGCTCAGCCAACATTTTATACCTCGTTTTTATATACAAGGTTGAACAACTTGTTTTCTGTCTGACTTTGACGTTTCTCTGACACTGAGGTAGATTACACGCGGATTGTGCTTAACTTGGAGAATTTTGAATCGAAAGGAAGTTCATGATATCAGCATGATATGATATGCATGATTTCATACCGATCAAGCAATATTTGCCAAATACAATATGCATAAACACTTTAGTCTTAGTGTTCGAAGAGAAACTTATTTTCAACATGACAACAATCACGCTTTCCCAAACGAAAGGCTATTGTGTTGAAATCTAATTTAATTTTAACCCTCAAGTAGATAAGATGGAATTAAATTACTCTATCATCAAAAGTTAAAAACCTGTATGGCATTGCTAAATTCAACAACAAAGAGGTTCATGATTTATTGGCTTTGATACATTTTATAACGTCGATTTTGCCCACAAATTCGAAATCCTATTAATTTATTCTCTGGTAGATAAACTCGAATTAGATCATTCATCATTCTATCATCAAAATTTGTATGGTATAACAAAGACCTGAATTTTTCTTTTCATATTTTCTGAAGCTTTCAAAAGCTTTGCAAAAAGATTCGAATTTGACAATTTGTTCGCGAACTCCAAATTGCAACATGGACAAAGCAAACTGTTCCTAGACTTAATTTTGAGTTATTACTGGCCTTTTAGTCAAATATAATTTTGTGCAAGCAAACCCACTTTCCTGTTGATACACAAAACAGCTGGGGGTACAGATTTTCATCAGAATTGTTTAAGAAAACAAAGCGCGACCCAGCTATGCTTGATTGAAATGGTATGAAAATTACGGGTTTCAGAATGAGAAATAGTTTGAAATTGGAAAGGAATCGTTGGGGCGAGAAAGGACAGCGTTGATGATGACCAGAATATGGCTGTGGTTTTCCTAATTCGTCCTAGGGTTATACGTCTGTTTGATAAATCAGAACTAAGTACTAACATCCTCGCAAATGTTTTTGCTGGATAAATATTGCATTGTTCCTTACATAAACACCAGAGTCTTTTACAAGCAATCTGGCTACATCGTGTACACATAATTGTTGTTGTTGTACATTAATACTTTGCTGGGAAGCCAGATGGCCAGATATATTATTCCTTCTCGGATATGCGGTTGCATGCGCACTTAACCTTTTGCCGTTTTGGGAACACTTTCAACTTAATATTGCGGAATTAATTATGCTGTCGTAGGGCCTAGAGAAGCAAATTTTGAAAAATTTAACAGACGCTTATCTAAGTAAAGCTAAACGCAAGCTTTGACGCAAGACTTTCGTCTAAACGCGAGACTATCGTGTGAAGCTTTACAGATGGTTTTCATATCCCCTTACCCAAAGCTGGCCCACGGACATTTAACACCTTGGCAGCCACGAGAATGTGATAACAAAGAATGAAAAATTTTCAACGCGTTTACAGCTTTCAATTTCGCGTGTTATTGACGAAAAATAATTTCCCCTCGTTGGCGTAAAATTAATTAATGGCATAACACTAAATCTGCGTCACCTACGTGAAATGATCGAGTAACAAAGACAAGCCGAAAATGTATTGTAATAAAACACGTTTTGAACTTTGGCTCCACTTACGACTGATAAATACTGCTTTACTTTGAAATAGTTGTACACACATAGACGTCAAACGTGAGGGTTTCTGAGCATTTGCCAGTGTACATGTAGTATTCAGCCATATTGGGCTATAAGCTACCCTGGTTTAATAGTGTTATTAATCTTCTGAGTTCTGACACAGTTCAGACACATAATATATGCCTAGGAAAAACATGACTGGTTTTCAAAGACAGACTAAAGCATTCTGAAAAATATGATAAATATCATTCATGGCACATTTACGAACGGGTACTGGCACTTGACAAAAATTGTGAATACCCCACACAATTAATAATCAAATACTTTTGGCGCTTTCCTATTAATACAAACAGGCAGGTAACTTTAATCTTCTTAAGCGAAAATTTTATTCAATTATCCGTTGACACTATTGTTAGGGTCAGGTTCGCGAAAGATTTTATACTATGGTCTGGGATTTTTCCTAGCTAAGTTTATAATAACTTTAATTGGTGTCGAATTTGGCATCGTTGCAATTTGTCTCCGTTTACAACAATGGAATGTGGTAAGCTCCTCCAATTATTTTATATTATCTTAAAAATATGCATCACTTCACGACATTTTCTTACTCTTTCCGCCGTAGACAAAACATGTTGTAGTAGGTGAATCTACACAATAACCGATTGACTCAAACAACCACCGATACAATAGCCCACCAGGTTATTTTACTGAATAAATTTAAACACAGTCACAGCTGCTTTGAGCGACTATAGTTTACTGCGTTGTGGATAGGGGTTTTAAAACAAGAGTATATAAAGTTCTTCACAAAAGTAAACTTGTTTATAAAAAGAGCTAACAAAATATTTATTGTGTGGTCTTCTTTGAATGTACACTTATTTTATGACAAAGAAATATTTTAAGTAATGAAACCAAATTAAGTTATTGCTCGAGGGAATCACCTAACTATGAATGTGGACCAATGCTAGACTAACCTTCTGATACACCGGATTTTATATTCATTCGCGAACACTTTCTCGTAAATTAGTTAAATTTAATCAATAGGCGAAATTTCGCATATGACAAACATGGCAAAGTCATTAGATTGCGATCTTCTGTCAAGCATCGTTCCGTCAGGCATAAGTGTTTTTGGGCATCAACAAAGATAGGTTGTCCTTCGAGCTATATTGAGATATTGGTCTGAGCAGACGTTAGGTGACTTGCGTTGTTTCGATTGAAACGCAGGAAGTCGTTTCTTTATTCAAATGGACCTTGTTTTGAGTTCGTGTATGCATACAAAATGTCGTTTCATGTCAACTGCGGTTTTAAACTTTAACATCGCCGCAGGGAAGGGAAATTACATCTCGTAATTAACGTCAGCAAGGAATTCTTTCTGATGGGGTTCAAATATGCAACATGGTTGCGAACTATTTTGAAACAAAGTTAATGATTTTGTAAGAATTCCAAAAACCTTAGAAAATGCGGGAAATAGATCACGAAGGCGTCAAACGCACAAAAATTTATTTCCAACCAGTATAAATGATGCTGAATGTACTTTGCTCTAACGAACTCTGCTCATATGGGGGAAATTTCAGAAGCACAACATGCCACAACAGTCAACTGGGAATAATACTAAGAACAACATTTTTATCGTACTATGAACCTTTTTAGGACCAAACCGAATTATCACAGTAAATACCTTTAACTTTGTAATACGATTTGCTAAGTCTTTCCTGGGTATTAGGTTTCTCTTAGCACTATTATTTTAAAACCGAGTTCTCTCGCAACAGAGAAAGACAAGCGCGGGAATTTCGATTGGCTATTTTTTTGAACTACGTCGAGTGTTTGTCAGATAAAAGGCGCCAAAAATTAGCCGTTAAAACGATGATTTATTCACTTTTCTGACGGCACACTAGTGCATGGTTGAGAGCAGTGATATTGCATGCTAAAAGATACGATAATTTTCGATCCTATATTATTCGCGTCATTCGATACACGTTCTTCGTATCGAATAACAGATTTAATTAAAGCTAGTGGCAAAATAGTCGCAATTTGTGTGTATTTATCACACAAAATCTCATCCTATTTAAACTATATTCCTTAGGAAAGCAACTTCAAAATAAACACTTCATTATGATTTTTTGTTTTATATTTTTTTCATTCACATTCACCCTCGCATTCTTACAAAACTCAGAAATACTTTAAATCATCACATAATATAGTTCGTTCCCACAATGTCTTTGTATCTCAATAATATTAACGGAACAGTTTATTCTTAATAATATACAAATATATATAATAATATAATATATTAAAATTATTTATTCTAGTTCTAGAAGACATCTGAATTAGCTTAATAACAAAAATAGTGCTATAACTATCGCCATTTAATAAATAATATATAAATATTGGTCATTGGTAATGCGTTAGGCTTTACGGAAATTTTCTGTGCAGTTCATATATAATAATTATTTTTACTCGTGTGCTTTTTATATGGATGTGTTTGCGAGGCATATTCACAGCTTATATTAATACTATACAATTACAAAATGTTAGAATATTTTTCTAATAGAAAACGCGCAGCTTAGAAATAAAAGTGGTGTCTTACACCATAATATCCTCCGACAGGCTCCAGAACATTGCTCTGATTCTGATAAATAACCTATAAAACGAATATATGTATAAATCTTTCTGACAATGAGATATTAAATTAGGGATAATATGAATCATCGCGGAGCCGACTACGTCTGACTGGCTTGATTACAATAAAATACAACAATAAACTAAACATGTATGTCATGAATATTAAAACGACTAAATCTTCTCTAGCCTATAATATATACGGCAAATAATTTCAACGATAAATTAGAATAAGCCTAATACTTTAGTCAATTTACAGTAATATGTATGAAAGCAAGGAGCAATTGCTTTTTAATCTGCGTTCTTCGTCGTTGTGGGTTTATTATAAAGTTTTGGTTAAGCCCGCTTCGCTCTTTAGACGTTTAGTGAGTCATGTTATTGAAGACGGGTAAACGTCGTGGACTATTCAAGCCTTGATCAGATCCATCAGAACCGGGCGACCCAGAGGACAACTCATCGCTTGAACTTGAATCGGGGAAGACATCAGATCGGTATTTCATTTGCTTTGCACCACCATTGTAGCCGGGCGAACGAATTTGAATAGGGTTCGAAGTAACGAACTCGTGTGAAGGAAAAGTGAAAATATTATTACTCACATTGTTTGCCGGTGGCGAACCAGTGACTTGCAAGGGCAGTGGGCTTCCCAAAGGACTATCATCCAAGAATGGCGTCGAAGGAGAAAGCGATAATGGCGACTCGAATACAGGCGAAGGAGGACTGCCAGTTGAGATGGGAGACAAAGGGGCTGTTAAACTTTGACTCCTTTCCAATGGTACGCGTTTTTCTTCAGCGTTGTGAATAAAATGACACCGTGGTCCGTACGGACAAAACCCGATCGTATGAAAAGTTCTACATAATTCTGTTTTGTATTTCGGATGCCGTGTTAGCTGTCTCAGTTCATGAAGGCCGTGAGCAAACTGGCATTTGTCTCCGTATTTACATGTTCCGTTTTCCTCAAAAGGCCTGCATAGCTCGGTTTTATATCGACTCGAATTCGCGATGTTATTTCTTCGTCTTTCTTCCTCGGCTGATGAAATTGCGCTAAAAGCACGATCTCTCGTCGGTCTGCTAACTAACATAGGATCGCTTAGTGTTATTAAGTTCGTTGGGGTTTGTCGAACACCGTTTGTCGAATGTCTTCTCGGTAGAGAACCAACTATCCTTCTATCCCCTCGTGTTTTTAATTCAAGCGACATCAACTTGTTCTAAAACCGTGAATGAAAACATACGTTAGTATATTAATAATACTCGCGGTGCTACTAGCATTGTTCGAACAATCGTAAATCATGATTTCAAAACAAAAGCAACGATCACAACATTATATTTGAATATAAGAGAAATCACGCGAAGTCAAAGTCAAATCATTCATTATAAATCTCAACGGATTTATACCTTTAAAAGAACATCGTCCATTTCATAAAACGCTGAAACCAGTGCTGTCGACATGATGTGAGAGGCACAAGTTCTAATTAAAATCTTTCAGGTTTATTGTGTGTTTATTCCTTCGGGAATACCCCGCGAATGTGGCTGCTTGCTCCTTTGCTGTTCAGTGACTTTATATTCGCTGTGAATATATATACACAAATGAGCTAGCGATTTTGGGGAGGTGTGTCAATTTTATCTATTATCTAATGCAGATGTCATTGACATTGCCATGGCAACGCTAATTAAGTGATCACGTGATGCGCTTGAGATAAAGAACGGAAGCGGTTGTTGCATGCAAGATTAAATGTTGCAAAAGATGGTCGCGAAAAGGTCTTTGGAAATTAGCTTATCTGCGGTCATCGAGTTCATAATGTTTCCAGTTTAGTCTAGGTGTCAAGTTAAACAGTAATTTTGTAATCGTTCGTTCAATCTACATCTATCCATGTTTTGCGTCAGTAGGTTGGGCATATTGTATTACCGAGATGCGCGCATTCCATATATGGAAGGTGTGGCAATATTCACTACGGCGCCTTTCCAAACTTATTAGAATATTCTAAAAGCTAAGAGCCTTAGAATGGCTATGACGGTGTTAACTTTCGAGTGGCAATTTTGTTATTCCCCTCTGTAAAACGGGGAATACAACGCATACCTATATTCGCTACATCTTTGTAAACTATCTTAACTGGTTTTGATTGGTGCGACCACAAGCTGTTCTCATTATAATAATAAACAAAAATCTCTGTTTACCGTGCTATTTATGTTTCAACACATTTAATTTTGTTTTTCTCATTATCAACAAGAAGTGAAAAGTTATTAATGTTTTCGTGGTTTTTTATACGACTAGAACTGCTCTTACTTAACACATCTTTCATTTCTTCGTGTGCTTGTTTCCAGCTATGATTGCCTTGAAACGCTCAATCGTTTCAAAATAGCATGCATTGAGTGACTGACAGAGATAATGAAATAATGCGAGGGTATTAAGTTACGCGTTTACGGCTTTGAGACAACCAGTATGTGAGAAATACAATGTAAGCAAAAAAATAAAACAGGCCAATAGGTTATCGAAACATTTTTAGTTTTACAGTTTTAAAAGACTCATTTTGAGACCAGTAACTTTGGTTTGACTCGCTAAATGTCTTTCAAAAAATGCGAATTATTCTTGGCGAGATTCTTGGTTTATACTAAACATGTATTGTCAGCGTTTCGATAGTTAGTTCCAAACAAACTGAAAGCATGCTGAGTCATTCACTCATTCAAGTGTCATGTTTTTATAATGGGAGTAGAAATTGCGCGATGCAACGTATTAACTTTCGTTATTAATACTTGAAATCATGAATGTATATCTTGATCGATATGTATAATATGAATACCAAATTAGAAACACTATATTGTATGTAGAGAGCGGGCTCAATGCGAATACTTTTATCTATATTAATACTTGTATATCTGCACAAATATGAATACTAAATTAGCGACAGTATTGTAAATACCAGACAGAGCGGGTGATTCAATATCGCCATTGTGTGATCGTGTTTATATTTTTGTGCACAACGCATCATCTAGTATCTCTAGTATTGTGTGGTACTGATAGTCTGATACTAGTATAACACAGCAAACCCTAGCACCAAGATACCATAAGGTTTATAAAACGTATAACTGGCAGCGGTTTATAGTAAGATGTTTTTGTTGTCACCATGCCACTGAAATAAACCACCGTTTCGCTGTTTTAAATTCGTGAGTGTTTCTAGCACGCCTTCGCTCAAGCCTCATTGTTCAACTGTTCCGTTTCCGTTCCTACCAAAACAATTCTGTTTGCTGACTTGTCGATTTAATTAAGACGCCATGTTCGCCATTTATATATTTTCGCGAATTCGTTTATGCCGCCAGCAATTTGCAACATAATTTGTTCTGTGTTTTGGAAATTCGTATCAATTCACCATTCGCATCCAATCTCCAATTAAAAACGGAATATTTAGGAATTAGGAATCCCCTAAAAGCCCCCACTGTAGGGAGGGGAAACCAGAGCACGTCAGCAGTGGTTTTGCTTGAATTAACGTTTTGTCGTGCCTACTTCGTTTCGTTTCCTGCTTGCAACAATGCGTTTTAATTCTTTAGACTTTTAATTTTGGATTTTGCTGTTTTTGCAGGTATCCAAACTGCAGTGACGCAGATTTAGCTTTGTGTATTCAATTTCTCAAACAAACCCCTGGCTGAGCAAACAAGGGATTAGGCAAAGTTTGAATAAATGAAGCTGAACGACTCAAGCCCCCACCGAGGCTGTTTTTAAATTTGTCTTCAAACTATAAGTTTACTTTTGTATTTTTTTTTATAATACCATAAAGCAAACTCTGATAGAATTAAGCTAATAATTTGCCTGGATTAATGTGTTGAAACATTTTCCTTCGAAAGTCGAAATAATGTTTGCTTCAACATAAATGCAAATGAAGTCAACATTATTAATAAAGCCCTTTTTTGCATACATTGCTATATTTCCGAGTTTGAATCATATCCGATTCCGTGTGAGGACAACGGATAATGACGCCAATCTCGTCCTATACACAATGAGCAAAACAAAAAGAACTTGGGTGACAATATAACTGCCTAGTTGCGTGCTTATACGCGGCGTTGAAACAATTACTTTCGACTAATCACCGAGTTGGCGGTCAATAATACAATACAGTATAACTTTAATAACATCACAACTAATGTGTTAGAAACACGAAGCCGGAATGAAATCGAGGAAGCACTGTAACTAATCACTGAAATGCGTTCTCCCAATTTCTTTCTAACATATATGACATATATGATATATCCAAATTGGATAATCCAATTGTGAAAACTCGGAACCTGCAGAGTAATCTCTTCCTCAGTGGCTCAAAAATTTCGATTAATGGCGGATTTATATAGCATTGGCACACATGTCAATTACTCAATATCTATTATTCTAGAATCTTTTAGAATACGAAGGGTCGAAGGCGAATTTGAGGCCATAGTTGCTGCACTGTAAAGTGACGTCAGTGTCCCAGTGCCACTGCCGGGCAGTGCCAGTGAGAACATTTTCACTATCGCAACTGGCAAAATGCGTGAAAAGCAATGAGTGAAAATGAAACAACGGGCACAGTGATTTTAAGAGGCTGTTTTTCTTTCAGTATTTTTATTTTTTCATCTTCGCCAAACACAATCGTGACAAGACTAACGTTTAAACAAAATGTCAATCTCATACATAAACAGGCAGCGACAACTGAATATGACTATAATTTTATATTAATCTCACAATTGTACTCCAGTCCTAAGAATTACAGATATATTCTTGGTTCAACATGATCAGGTGCATAGACATAGTAAAAAAAATGTTTGTGGTGATATTTGGGACGCTATTAAAACCCATAGTATTTGTGGTTTGGGGGTATTTGTACAGCCCAGTTCAATGGTACACCCACACCTCTCACGCCACTGCAGAACAAGAAGGGATGAATGGATGATCTCTTTGCTTGAAGAGTCATTTACTTAAATGCTATTTCATGCCTTTCCGAATGATTTTAATAAATAAATCCATCAGAAATTGAATAAGTTCCATTCAGTATCTGTTTCCTTTCTTTGAATGAAGTCTTCCTGTTTTAAATTTTCAGTTCACAATTTTTTTTACCAATCACTCTATTGACTCGTAAATAGTTACGGGCTTGTCAATAACTTGCCCTATGGCTATGCCGATGGACCGATGGTATCACTGGCCATGTTCCAAAGGTATTTTTTACTTTTTAATACCACGTATTGCTCTGACCTTTGCTCTGACTATAAGTAAATGCCAGGCGATTCTGTTCGTCAAATGGAGACCTCTTAGAAATTCCCAAAGAAAGGGATGAACTGTCAGGTTTTTATACAAAGTAATATACGTCTAGAAAGTGTATGCGATTGAATGAGAAGTCTTATTTATAAGGATGAACTTGGTACTTGACTGAAAGATCAATGGTCCAGTATCTCTGAAATATGTATGTGGTACGTGGGCAGATCAAGCAACATCTGAAGGAAGGCAGGCCGGAAGTATGTATGACGGTTTGCGGGGAACTTGCAGCACTGCTTTGACACCCACGTCTGAGAATTTACACACACATGTGGTCCGAATCTATGTCCGACTGGAATAAACCATGCTGTGTTTAATTGATTTAACTGGAAAACACGTGACACTGAGGTGGTTCCTCGGTAAGTGTCGCTGCTACACATATTATATCTGTTCTTCGAAGGTCGCACCTATACCGCTCTTCGAAAATACTTCGAAGTCGCGCATATACCGTTCAAGATTATATAAAAATGGCCAGCTTCAAATACGATCAAATACCCCAAACAAATATTGGTCAACCAAATACGACCAAATATGGGAACAAAATTCAAGGAGTACTCTCATAGCGCACGTCATGCTAAATACTTCCGTTTCTGCTTATTTTCCACCGCTTCCACCAAATACAGGGTCAATACAGATGATGAACAATTCCGTTAAGAACTCTGACAATTGTCTTTTCTTTTGAGTTGACCACGATCTGCTGAAATGTCCCACTTATACTGGAGTTATATTGAACACGAACTATACGTTTCAAAAACAAAGGAGCGAAACAAAGAAATTTCAAGGAAATGTATCATATTCATGCCAGTGGCATATCACTTGAAAAACGTACAAATTCTGTGTTAGTTATGAGAGTTATATTGGTTTCAAAATAACTTGTAAAAAATTGAACAATGTTCCCTGATTTCCAGCAGTGCTAAGGAAAAATATACTTGGGGGCCTGGGGCCGATCGACGACTAATTCATTTTTTTTACCGAACTTCCTAATATTGGCCGTTGATCAGTGAAAGTTTAGTTTTTATAAATTAAAGTTTTTATATTTATTGTGGGTTAGCTCCACATCGCCGTAGTTTCACAGCTTTCCACGAATTTTTACAACGAATAAAAAAATGATTATCCGGCTTCGCCCCTGCACGATACAGCCACAGGATCTTTTTTTTTTCAACTTTTTTTTCCTGATCAGCTTCGTTACGCGTTCGCGGGGAGGGGGCAGAGAGAGAATTTATGTTAATTTACTGAATGTTTCAAACCGTATGGGATTAAATTGAGTCTCTATAATTACTAGTTGCAACACTCATCGAACCGGCACTATTTTGTTAACCATCTATATCTGAGCTTGAAATGTCCCCCATAACAATTCGTGACTCAGTCCAAATCTAGATCTCATCAATTCTCGTTTGACCAGGGCTTTTGATAAATATATTTAGTTTAAATTGCCCACATACAACCTTAGTTGTATACTTCCTGCTATTATTAGCCATACTCGAAGGAGAACGGATACATTACTGCATATATAGCCCATATATTATATTGTATTGGCGCCATAGATTAATAATAATTTGGACTATTATTTTTAGTGTCTTACTAAAGGCCAAGGCAGGTAATTAGGGTAAAATTCTCCCCTTTCTCTTTCAGAATCTCATTTTATTAGACATTCATTGGAATTCTCTTCATTTAGTCCGAGAAAATTGAAACAGATAGTTTTTATTTGTAAGACCTTTTATATAACTGTTGTAATGCCAATTATGGACATTTTGACTGGCAAAGCTTCAGTGAGAAACTCAAATCCACTATTTAAACTGAAAATCCGAAAACATTTGGTCAGTTTACTCAGCGAGCAGAGCCGGGAACTAGCTAAACATCCTCGTCCCCAGGCCCAAGCTGGCAAAACTGAAATTTTTGGTGTAAACTGACCCAGTTTAAATCTGGCCCAAAATTTATCGTTTTCTATTAGTATACTTTTAGTTAATAAAACAAAACTTCACAACTAAATATCTAGACTAACTTTAATTAAAACTTTTTTGACTTGGCCAAGAAGCAAGAGCTTAATTCAATAATTGGAAAAATATTTGATCTGTAGTCTCTAAATGTTGTTCTTCTTTTATGTCTTTTATAATTTGTTGTTCAAGACGTGTTGTTGAATATTGTTTATTGGCTGTAACTCTGGGTCATTATGCCGGATGTACTTTTACTAAATAAGACGTAATTTGGGACTGTATCAGTCCTGTTGTCTATTGTCTGCACCATCAATCGCACCATAAAAGGATTTTCAAGTATTTAATAATCAGTAAGTGTTTTTCAGATATGAATATTTACAGTATTAAAAAGTTTTATATGGCTAAATGTTGTGGCCAAAACAAAATAATTGTATTTATCACCATGCAAACTGAAAACAGCTTATTAAAAAAGCCTTTATTAAATCTTTTAAAACATTTGCAACTGTGTAAAAGTCCCTAACAGCACATAAAAGCACACAATATAACTAAGAATGGGCGTTCCAGGTCACAACCACAGAGTATACAGAGGCGGAACTCGCGGCGATTCCTTTGTTCTTTGTGTCCCCGTGCACGTCATTTCCACGCGCCACGCAAATTGCTCTGGCAAGTGTCATTCGTCGTGTTTTCAGTCAAAAGCATAGGAAAAACACCGTTCGAAAGTAGAAAAATAAATATTTTTGCGAAGTTGCTCGACCGATCTTCATTTTGGGACTCAAATTTGAAAGATAAATGGTAAGTGGTTATTTTTATGTAAAAAGATATACGTTTATAGGCTAAATACAAAGAAAAAATAGTATAATACAATATACAATCTCGGTGCTTGTGATGTTCTGCCAAGAAGCAGATTCTCATTTCGCTAATTTCGCTATAAAATTAATGCGGGCCAAACGTATTGCTTTCCTGTCTTTTACATTATTAATAAGAAAGCATAGGTGCTTATTTGAAACACGTCCATCAGGTTCCATGCATGTAGCTTTGGGATTTGTGAGCAAAACTACCTATGTTTTTAATACTTTCTGTGCAACTATAAATAACCACATTCACAAATGTATTCTCCAGCAAAGAAACGTTTCTTTACGGGTTGTTATTCCGCATTTGAAGGCATGCTTATGCCTTCAAAGGTCAGAGGTCTTGAACATGCAGAATAGCAGAGACTACTGTCATTGACATCCTTTGTCACAAAATTATGATGGCATATTGGACAGCTATGTTGGATAAGGCACTTCCTTAATAAATAGCCTAACACATAAGTTCATGCAGACTAAGTTTTGTTCAATTTCATTTGTTTTGTAGTCGGTATCTTCAACTGCTTGGATTAGTGGTGGGCTTGTCTAATCATTCCCTGCAGATAAATCAGATTGGCTAAGGTGAAATGCAATCAAATAGGCATCAGAATCTTCAGCACAGCTGCCAATTGAAAGTGGTGTCAAAATGTTATCTACAAATAATATGCAAAATGCTCTGGTGAACTGGATGGGACTAATGGGTTGTCACAATCCCCCCCCCCTCCCCCCTCCATGCTGCCTAATGAAGCCAAAGAAGTTCTCCAGAGGATCCTGGTTGAGACATCTTGTCATGAGAAACTCCAAGGAATGATGTTGGTTAAGGTCTTGAAATGTAAATACTACAGTGTAAATACTACAATGAAATGTAGATACAACAGTGTAATTGGAGTTTAAAAAATACAAAGTTTATTTTAATAAATGTTTATTTTATTTCACATTTATACACATTTAAGAACTTAAATTATTCAAAAACTAAATAAATATGTGTTCAATGTCAATGAATATTGCTATATTCTAAATTTTTTATTCCAAAATAGGCAATAACTGTTTCCTTTATAGTTGACCCCACATGTCATGAAAATTAATACTAAATAAAAAAAGTAGCCAATGATCCATGTTTCCTCTTACAGTCTCTGCTTTATATGAAAAGTTAAATACTATGAATAATTGCATTGTTCCTTTTATTGATAAAGAGTTTCCCATTAAAAGAGAAAGTATTCCCAATTAATACTTTCCCTTTAAAGTCATGTGCCCACCCCTTGATGAGTAAAATTGTCTGCTGTTAGACAGAGTAAAATAATAAAGTAGGGTGCATCAGGGCACCAAGTTGGGTAACTAACAAGTAAAATTGTCTAGCTTTACAGTACATCTTCCAAGGGGGGCTGGATTTGGAGAGCAGGCCTACCACTTTTAGTTGCATTTGGGGGGGGCTGCTTTTTTGAACCTCAATTAAACTATTACAGTAATCCGACGGCCTGTCTATATGGTCTCCGGGTACTAGGGAAATCTTATCCCCCCCCCCCGAGCCACCCTGGCAAGGCAAAACTATATTCATATCCTATTATAGCAACTGCCATGCAAGTGTTTGCATGGAAAGTTTTGAACTTGTCTTGCCTAGTGGGATGATCAGGTAGTAAGGTCACTCCGTCAGGGGGTACAGCATCTCTACTACTCAAGATTAATTATATAAACATTGCCTGAGGCTATGTAAAATTGATAGGCATTCCAATATAAGATCAAATAGTCTCAGGTTTTCCCCAATCAGAAGAACAAATTAACATAGTTGTAAGAATCTGCATCTGATTCATTGTAATGAACAATGTAGTTCAACAGGAATGGTTGGCAATCTAGAAAAGCAAAATAAAAAATAAACAGATTAGATTTAATATTAAACATGCACAGACTTGGCATGTTTGAGAAATTATTGACCTTTGAGAGCCAAAAAAAGGTTGTCATTGCACAATAACCAATGCACTAGTCTAGGGGAATCACTATAAAGTATAATTTGACCAATCCCTCACCATTGGGTCAACATATAAGTTAAATAAAGTCTATATGAGAACTTTAGAGTACTGTGGCTCCATGCCCAAGTCCATCAGTCCATGTTGAATGTTGATGTCAGGCCCGGAGCTACGGGGGGGTGTGGGGGGGTGTGACACCCCCCCAGTAATTGTATTTAGTCGGCAGGACTGCTATTCAGTCGGTAGAACTGCTATTCAGTCGGTAGAACTGCTACTTGGGTTAAATATTTTTGGCGCAAAGGGCAAGAATGTGGTGGGAATTTTATGAAAATTTTGAGGAAAAATGTAAAAATTTTGAAAAAATGTTAAAAAATGTTGAAAATTTGCTATGTGCGAAAAATTTTTGAATATTCCGGAAAAATTTTGTACGTCCGGAAAAATTTTTTTGACCCCTAAAGTGGTACACTGACCGAAATTTTTTTGGCGACGGGGGGGGGGGGAGGTCGCCGAAAAAATTTTGTTCCGGAAAAATTTTTTTGAACCAGTCGGTTGAATTGAAGTACACCCCCCCTGAAGAATTTCCTGAGGACGGCCCTGGTTGATGTTCATATTTTTCGTATCTGAATGCTGTTTATGCAATGTTTAAATTAACGACAACCCTTTCATACAACATAGCACTTCACAAAAATATATTTATAATTTCATATATATGAGCTAGAGAAAAAAAACTCACATATAAAGTTGCCAAGTTCCAGCTGGAGTTCAGGTCTACAGAATCGAATCTTCAGATTGCCAGAAATTCTCACTCCTTCGGGTGTCTTTTCTCATTTTCGCCGTTAAAAATTGTATTCGTTCAATTCCCTTTCGCTAAGAAGACGCAGTGTGCCATTTATTTGCAAAATTCGTGCAGAAAATGAAGATTGATCGGTTACTGCGCTTAAAATCGCCGTTTTACTGCCAAAATTTTGCATTTCCCTATCTTTTTCCTGATAAAAAATGTGCATGACACTTGCCAGAGGGTCGCGCATGCGCATTAAAAAAGTGGGGACATGATTTGCCCACTGGATTTGCCTCGAGTTCCGCCTCTGTATATCCTTACTCTGTGTCACAACCATTGATCAGTGACGTGTACTCGGAAATGTACGTGCTAGGTTCGGTTTCCGATCGGCTCCGATATATCTCGAAGTTTTGGATTCTTAGTATAGAGCCCGCAGTTTTTACTGACCAGCGAACTCCAAAAATAAAATTAAAAATAAAATTTTTTTGAAAGTTGTAAATTTTTTATGAAATTGTTTATGAAATTTTAACGGAAAATTCTTTGAAACTATCCGGTCGTTTTGGATATTGAATGTTATATGTTTGTGGCGTGGAATAAGGTGAGATTTTAATGCAGAATGTCGAGCAAAATGGTCGAAAATTCGACTAATATTTGTGATGCAACTACTGACACAAAAGACAAGGGCTTGTTGTTAGTAACTGTACGCGAAGGAAGCTCGGCACCCTTAGTTCTTCGTCGTTTTTCGGAAGACGGGAAGGTAGTGTTAGGTTTAGAACAAGTTATTCAGGGTGGCTTTCGAAAGATTGAACCAAAACCAAGGAGTGAGTCAAAGGAGGATGAATGTGAAGACAATATTGGTGGACATACACAGAGCCCAAGGTATGATGGGATATGTCATAGTCATAGAATAAATACATATGAAAGTCCAACTTGTTGTCAGTGCCTTTGATGTTAGCGTAACGACTGCCACGCCATGATGCGCAGTCGCAATGCTGTCCCCGATGTTCCTAGCTAGGAGTAGCCAATAAAGAGTAGACCACTAGAGCTACTGAAGTCAATAAAAAGTGGATTTATGCCTACAAATCGTATGCAAAATTCCTATTGGTCAGACATAAATAGCCTTGCCTTTTAAGATAATATCAAGTTGTTGTTTACGTAATATGATATCCTGTGGCCGCATTAATTATTTTTTAAACACAGTCAATAACCATAATGAATATTGAAGTATTTATTTTGGAGATATTGGTGGAAAAATTGGCCGTTATTGTCATATTTAAAATAAATTAGCTTTGATAATCATCTAATTAACAATCACCATTTTGATTGGTTGTTATTTTTGTACATCCAAATCACTGTCCACTTTTTATTTATTTCAGTAGCAGGCTCTATTTTCTATTTTATTTGAAATTCAGGGCGCAAAATAACGGCCGGTCAATGGACATTGTCCGGCCAGAATGCAGAGTTGTCTAGTCAAATTCTTGTCTTTCCGGTCATTTTGAACAGTCACTTTCGGTAAAAGAAGAAACTAATCTTTCCTTGACTTTATTTTATGTCAGAGACTTTGCAACTTCACTAACTACAGCTGTTACAAACTCAAAGTGTGTAAATCTGATTGGATTCGTTCAGATTTCGGAACAAAATATTCATTTTGGATTGGAATCGGATTGATAAAGTTGTTTCGTAGTTGGAGCGGATCGGACTTCGATATTCGAAATAAAATGAATTAATTATATATAATAAATAAATAAATAAATAAATAATAATTATTATTTGGTTAAATATTTTCACTTGAATGAGAAATTTATTTCATTAAAGGATTCTTCGGATCGGATTGGAATTCTTTATCAAAATTCGGATCAGATTCGGATTAAACAATTTCGGATCGGATCAGATTTTAAACATTAGCCAATTGTCGGATTATAAATGTCCAATCCGATCTGATGCACACAATGTCAGTAAGCGAGAATAACGAAAAAATGATTTTGTTTACGTTTTGTTCATGCACATGAACCTGTTTGAATTTTTAATTAAAGAACGTCACATTAGTCAAAAACATTTCAGAGAACCAGAGCTTAGGACAAAATGATGGGAAGCAGCTTTAGTTAATACATAATAAATAAATAAATAAATAACATTAACTGTAAAATAACATAAGTGTAAAATAAAGTTCAAAATAGTGACCTTTTTTGTTAACATGATTATGAAGAGTTCCATTCACCTCACACCACCACTTACAAATCATCGTCAATCTGTTCCAGTTAAGTTAAGGCAATGTTGGTTTCGCATATCTTCAGTGTACTCTTATTGTAAGTCACAATTACTAATGTAAGCGCAGACTGTGCAGTGCAAGCTATTTTATGTGAAGGAGTTTTTCATTACTGATTACAGTAAGGCTTTTTGTAATGCTATTGGAAGAATAGTCACATTTTTAATGGACGTGTACTTTACTAGGCTTTGCTTTAAATTAAGCTGAACAATTTGACCGATCAGAAATTCGACATGTCCAAGCTAAAATTGATTTGGCTGGTCACCTTGACCGGCTACCCTCCAGCCATTATTTCGCACCCTGAAATTTGCAAATCATGGTGTGGCCGCGGTTACAGGTTTTTGGCTCTAATCTAAGCATTAAGCAATTTTTTGGTTATGTTACACAAGATGTTTTGTGGAATAATGTAAACATGATTTCAAATATTTAGTAAATTGGTTCTTCATAGCATGCAGCAAGAAATTATTTGATAATCATAAGTAATGCCCAAGGCTCATGTACATTTCACTGCACTTCATTTTGAATAAGAAATTTCTAGTACATTTTTACTCCTCATGAAGAGAGTGTTGTGCATATTTACCTCTTGACTAGTAAAATCTAGTATGTGACTGATGAGGTCATTCCAGAAAACATCCATACTTTCCCCACAGAGGAAATTGGAAGTTAACCCCCCTACCCCCTTTGGATATCCTAATACACTTACTATTATCAGACTGAAACACATTTTTTCTTCCCTCCTCCTCCGGACTGCAGAAATTTGCTCCATGGGGGAAGTGCAGATAATTTCTGGAACAACCCATCACAAGGAAGGTACAATTTTGACCAGTCTATTGTTAACACATGGAACCAAAATGGACCCTTGCACCCTACTTTGCTATTTTGCTCTGTGTAATGCCAGGTAATTTTACCTTATCAAGAGGAGTGTTTTCAAGCACATTTTAAAATTCTATAAACTTTTTGTTTAAAGATTACTGGACTCCAGGTCTACCAGGCGAGGTGTACGAATTTGTCCAGCCTGTCAAGGGCGAGTTGGTTACCGATCCAAAGTTTGTAAACATTGTTTAAAATCATCTGGTAATTCCAATAAATGCACAACTAATGTCAAAAAGAGACGAGTTGGACAGCAAAAAAACAAGCGCAAAACTAAAAACACTACGAGGAGGGTACGTGAGCAATCAGGACTTGCTCAGGAAAATAGTGAAGAATGTCATGCCACAGTATCAATTGATAATTTTGATGTCCCAATGAGTGATCCAAATCCTGATGAGACATTGCTGTATGTTCATGTTCCAACAACTACCTCTACTTTAGAAACCATTTCTAATATAGACAGTCATATCAGTGGAACAGCAAACAGAACATTATCCATAGAAAATGATTGCCAAATTCTAGGAATTGTGAATAGCAATAATGATGACGTTGTATACAAAGCACAAACACGGTTAGAAGTTGACAAAGAGGATGAAAGCAGTTTTAACAAAGTAAAGACTGGTCTGGTAGAAGAGCAAAGAGTTGATCGTCTTGGAGAAGTTAACAATTCTGGTCATGAATTATCCCAGAATCTAGATAACGAAACCTGCAACCAGGAGTTTACTTTGTGTAGAAATAACTCTATTCCCAGTCTTCCTGATATGACAGTTGGGAGGGATGATGAAGAACTGTCCCAGGATGAAGACTTGGGACAAGATAGTAACAACATTACATCTAATGTAGTAGATACTATATCTGACAGTTCAGCAAATAATGTAACAAATAAAGTGAATGATGTCGGAAATCTGGGAACTTTAGCTGATGGTGTAGAAAGTACAGCAAATGATGTCCAACATCAAACCAATGTTATGAAAACTTTAATAGATTATAGAGAGAAACTAGCAACTGATGCAGAAATATGTAATGGAAGCACATGTGATGAAGACATTCCAAGTAAAGAAGGACTTTCTATCCATAGAATATCTGAAGATCTGACTTCCGAAGATGTGAATTCCAAAGTGGTTCCTCTGAATGAAAATAGTAGTCCCCCCATAATTCTTGTGGATGTAAATAGCATTGGTTCAATTTCTGTAACAACAACTGACGATAACTCTCAGAGTGCCGATGCAAACAGTGTCCAAGCTTCTGAGAATCCTTTTGTTTTTGAAAACACAGATGTAAATTTCAGCACAGAGAATGGGAACGGTGAAGGTCCAGTAGATATCCTTGCAGAAATAAAAGTACGCAGTGAGCAACGTGGGAATGTGAAGCGAAAAAAGAAGCCAAAGGTGTGGCAGGAGCTTCGTAATAGAAGGAAAAAGGCCAGAGTCTCTACTGTCCAGTTCATTAGGATTGAGCCGAAACCCTTCGTGGATATCAGTGAAGATTCCAGGAAAAACAAGCAGGGAAATGTAAAACAAAACAGGTAAGGAACTAAGGATACGGCACAAACAGTTCGTGATGGTGGTGATGATGGTGATTGTGTTGATGATGATAGTAATGAAGGTGGTAATGGTGAAATAATGGTGATGATGATGTAATAATGGTTATGGTGATAGCAATTGATGGTAGCAATTCTGTTGATGGTGATGATAATGATAGTTGTAATTATGGTGATGATGATAGTTGTGGTGATGATGATGATGATGATAATGATTTTGGTGATGGCAATTGATGGAGGTGATTCTGTTGATGGTGATGATAATGATAGTGGTAATTATGGTGATGATGATATTTGTGATGATGATGATAATAATGATTTTGGTGATGGCAATTGATGGAGGTGATTCTGTTGATAGTGATAATAATGATAGTGATAATTGTCGTGATGGTGATAGTAATGATGATGATTCCTTGTAGGTCTAAATGTTGATAAGTACCGTATAATTGTTTGTTTTGCGGGAAATATCCTGACGTTCTAAAACGTATTGTATTCCGCAAAAACAAAATCAATTAAATTGTTCTGTTATACCAAATTGGGGATAAGATTTAGTAGCAAGTATATATTGTTAAAAGGGCAGGGGGAAATTTTGGCAATAAAGATCACCCAGACAATTGTGTGTTTTGTGCATGGATGTATTGAATACTCTCATTTTATTTTCAGATTATTATCCAGCAATCCCACCAGACGAGGAGTCATGCTTTGTCCTCTGTGTCAGAGAGACGTTGGCTGTCGTTCGAGGACTTGTAAATATTGTAAAGTTGCCATCAGTTTATATTCCACGAAATCACCTCTTGACCAGAAAAATCTTCTTGCCGTTGAACTTTGTGAAGAAACCAGTCCAGAGTATACGATATTCTCTGTGAAGAAAACTTTAAATGCCTCCGAGGATAGATGTTTTGTTAAAAAGGTTAAAACTACTGCTGAAAAAGGGTTACCCAAAAATGACAGAATATCAGAGGTGTTCTCCTGCGATTGTGTTGGAAATGTCCCTACTGAAAAACCATCATGTGAGCATACCATATGTATGTATAAAGGTCCAAAAATCACACAAGCTAGAAATATTACTTTAACACCTTCCAAAATAGGCACGTTGCCTATAGACGTCTTCTTTAAACATAAACTTGGTGAACTCTGGGATAAAGTCAAAGACAAAGAATTTCCTCTTGTCCAACAGGTATGTCAGAATATTCTGGTTGTTTTAGATGTCGATTCAAACGTCGAAAGAACTCCTTCAAGTTGTATCCACGTTCGTTTTGAGAAGATAAGACGACGAAGCATTTCTGAACTCCATATATTTTGTTCTGGAATGACATGCTCCGCTTGGAATGAGGTGGAAGACGGCGAGAAGGACTGTCCAGTTACATGTATACATTACTGTGTCAGTTTGTGGGCGATTGCCTCAGATAATGACTTGCAGAAATACTTGAAGATATTTCTTGATGCTACGCAAGTTTACCTGCACAGTGAGGTGTTTGATAATGTGCTTGAAGAATAAGTGTCATGCTTGGCAAGCGAATATATAATATACAGTGTCTTCAAAATGTTAACAATTTGCACATCCGCTGAGCGCCTTTTAAGTATTTACAAGTTTCCAAAGTAAAGTGAGCGCGACTTCATGTGCCTCTGCGAAAGAGAGGGATCCACCGGATAATCTTGTAATTCATCGTATATCGTATATTGTTTATTTTAGGATCAGGCCTTCGTTTCAGATTAAAAATGATTTAATAAGGTTAAAACAGTAAGGGTGTTTATTTCACTTGAAATGATCATAGAAAGGCTTTCAAGATTTTCATGCTCGTTTGTAAATGCGGATTACATCTTTGAACTTTGTGAGCGATGCTTTGCAACCATGCCATTAACCTCGTTCTCAGGGCCCTGGGAACGAGGTTGCCATGCCATGTTTACCGATATTGAAGTTCCTATTATTTCAAGTATTATTTCAAGTCGAAATACTATAAACATGCACCTTCACTTTTTAACAATTACAATTATTATTAAATGAGGCCCGAACCTTATATGAAAACATCCGGCCGGATAAAAATATATGATGCACTTGCCACTTGGTTAATTAATATTTAACATGCTTTTAAATGGTATAGATTAGAGTTTCAATTTAGAGGATGTCGAAACAACGCGAAATTTGGGTCAGTGTTTATGCCAGAGGGCCCTCACATAGCACATGCGCAGAACAGACTTGACCTCATGACCAGAGACCGATTTTCATATTTTCGTTTGGGGGGGGTGGATAAATATCTGGGGGGGGTTGCCGCTGCTTGCTTTGGCCTGGGCGTGGTAGCAACGCCCGGAAAGGCCAAGGGAAAAGTTTAACGAAATTTGTTTTCTAGGCCTGCATGGCGAGATGTGAGACCATAATATTGGTAATTTTACAAATTTAGTAGTAAGAATAATCAAATATGAAACTATCAAATCAAAATATATATAATTTGCGGGGTGCAAAAACGTTTGGGGGCGGTGCGAAATGCCTCTTGGGGTGCAAATCATTTCTGGGGGGGGGGGGTTGCGCACCACCCCCCGCACCCCTCCTCCCCCAGAAAATCCGTGCCTGAGTCCTCATCTTTAAAAAAGGCTCTGCGGAGGAGAGAACCATTAAAATATAATGAGCTTTGCACTCAAAATCACGAACGAATAATTATGAATTGTGGTGGTAAAAAATACATGCAAAGGATAATAAAGTTATGTTGAAGATGTTCATGTTATATTTGGAATTTTTGTACATTCTAGTCATTGGTTGGGGTTGCTGGCACAGTGAGTCTTCCGCCTTGTAATCCTCTTTTAGAGGGTTCAGTCATGAACAGGAAGATATATTTAATACTAAAACAGATTACAGTATCGTGATTGACTTACTTTTCAAATTGAGGTAGACGTGTGATTCTGCAATCATACTGTTGGAACAGAACAAAGGCAGATTTAACAGAAAAGTTTAGAAAACCAATTTCGCTTTTGTTTTGTAAGCCCCGCGGAAGAAAGTTACGGATGTTTTGCTCTCTCGCTTGTACGTGCATCGCTTAATTTTCCATATCATATGGTCATAACGGTCGTAAAGATTGAGTCGCGATCTTTCTCATCAGTCGAAATACAACATTTTAGAACTGAAAATACGAGTGATTATAACTAGAGAATAGTCATGATTTATATGTGGTATTTACAGGTATAAACTGGGCGTTGAGAAAGATCGTGACTCTATTTTTTACGACCATTAGGCATTAAGGCGGATTTCCATTCAGTGGAAAAAGTCGCGCGATCGACTTTTTGCGACCACTTTCTTTTGAAATACAAGCAATCAAGCGCAACGGATGAGGTTGACTGCACGCATTTGAAAAGAAAGTGATCACAAAAAGTCGATCGCGCGACTTTTTCCACTGAATGGAAATCCGCCTTTAAGGCCGTTTTCCACTAGGCGGAATTTTGCGCGCGGAGCGGAATTTTTCTTTGTCTTGTGATTTCTCGGGTGGAACTAATTAGAAAAGACAAAGAGAAATTCCGCTCCGCGCGCAAAATTCCGCCTAGTGGAAAACGGCCTTAATTAGTTCCACCCGAGAAATCGCAAGACAAAGACAAATTGCGCTCCGCGCGGAAAATTCCGCCTAGTGGAAAACAGCCTTTACGCAGGTTTTGTGCGTAACTGATGAAAATGTACTTCACAACATTTCTTTTGTTTTGTCTTTTAATTTGTCTTGTGGCAAAATGGTCCAGAACACTTTGCATAGCACTAGCATAACATTAGTGCCCTCCAGTTTTGATCGTAATAATTACAGTCGAACCCCTATTAAGCGGACACCTTCGGGACCTCGCCTAAGTGTCCGCTTAAAAGGGGTGTCCGCTTAAAAGGGGTATGTAGAAAAACACAGCAGGAGGCAAAGGTGTGTAATTTGAGTATCAAACAGTAAAAAATATCTAGCAAATAATTAGCATAAAATGAAAATTTCTTTGTGCATAAAAGTTCATTAGAAAATGTATACGTCTCTCACAGTCATATAAAAAAGGAATAGATATAAGTTTGCTTTGGAGGCTCACGCAGACGATGGCCCATTATAATGTCATTTACATAAAAATGGTGTTCGAAAGTTTTTCCAAACCTCGAAATTGTGCGAATTCTGCCAGCCGCTCGACTACTTTAAGGGTTTCGGAGGACGATTTAATGACTGGTTTGTTAAGAGACCAGTCAAATTCATCATCGTCGTTCAGTTCGTTGTCATCGTCATTGATCTAACACATATCTTTTGGTTCCTTTGCTGGTGGTTCACAGTCCTCTGTTGTCGTTCGTCACTATCTCAATAATCGTGGCCCTGATGTCTTCGCGCCAAGTTGGTGTGTCACTGTCAATGTGCCATGTAAATTGATCTCAATAACATGTTATTTACTGTCGAATATTGAATACATTTTATCAGACAATCTGTCATCTGTCCGCTTTAAGAGAGGTTGGTTTGCCCGTTGGGATCTCAAGTAAGGTGTCCGCTTAATAGGGGTTATGATAATAGTATTTTATTATAAGTAAACCAATGGGACCTGAGATATGTGTCCGCTTAAAAGAGGTGTCCGCTTAAGAGAGGTGTCCGCTTATAGGGGTTCGACTGTAATACCTTTTCATTGTTCTGAAATCCCACTGTTGTCCACGCCATCCAGTTACTCATTGTTTCGACATATACTTGTGACAAAAGCCTATTGCTATTCGCAATTATTTGAGATTTGCATAGTTTTCAGACTTCAGTCATTCGAGCAAGTACTTTGGACTGGATTTTTCTTAACTCTAAAGGCTTGTCGTTTCCAGATTTAGTTAGCTAATGGTCCAGACTACAAGGTGACGTGTAAGAGCTGGTACGTCCGTGTTTAAAACGAAGAGCTCGGTATAAAGTGATTAAAGGCTAGACAATAAGAATGGACAACGTATAAACACCAAAGACAAAGTACGGGCGAAGAATGCTATATCTCTAGGTATCCCTCTTACGAAGTGGAATCTTACGAAAGCAGAATGCCGTGAAGCTGCAATGCAGGTATATAAAATTCAACGTTTTCATGTGCACCTGATCAATTATTTGCCGACACTGAAGGCAGAAAAAATTATGCAATAAAAATTGAGAGAATATTTATGTGAAAAATTATAATAATAATTCAGGTATTTTATTTAAATCATTTGATTCACAGAGATGTACCGTTGCATCGGCAGGACTTATTATGCCTTTATAACTTAACGTTAAATATATTTATTACAATTAATTTTCACAGTTTAAAAATTTACTTCCATATTACAACTTGTTCTGCATTATGTTCAATCTATGTCCATTAATTTGAGTTCACGATTCTACGCACGATCTGTGCGTATCACCATTGCATGCTAATAACACTCCAGATGTATATTGGGTTCAGTGTGATACTCATGGCCCGTCATTATCGTCGACTTTCAGTTGTGATGTCGCAAAGGACTGTGGTTCGCTCGTGCCGTGGCCCGTGGTAGAACATTCCTATGGGAAAATAAATGAAAACACACTAAATAACCGTTATTCTTGGGTTTCACTACGGCATTTTGCAGTCAATCTGACGGGGGATCAACCTAGAATGTGTTGATGCTTATGCTGTACTGGAGTGAGCAAATGATACGAAACTGCATGTATTTGCCACCAAACACAAGGCCAACACATACAGTGAACAATTAATTCACTCTGATGACTGTGTCTCGATTTAGAGTTGACCCCCCGTCAAATTTATGACGTCATATGAAACCCAAGAATTCGAGGCAAACAATACAGTGCAATTGACGGACATCTCGTTTACAAAGCCCTTATCACACGAGGCAATTTTTGATGCAATAGAATAGCACTTTTGACCCAAACCCTATATAGGTCACCCGAAAAGGTAGCCTTGCATTTGCATCATTATATATATCATTTCCCCAAGGTTGGCAAGAAAATACCGATCTAACACTGTATACAAAAACTAGTACCAAATGACGAAAAACTCATTTTTTCAAACTATAGGGATGACAGCTGCCGTCCCGACGTCACAAAATAAAGCTCTCTGATTGGTCAAGATTTCAACCAGCCAATCAAAGAGCTTTGTGACGTCGGTACGGCAACCGTCATCCCGCATATATTTTTCTTGCCAACCTTGGGGAAATAATAAACATGATGCAACGCTACCTTTTCGGGAGACCTATGAACCTTATTAGCATTTCTCACGCCGCCATTTTTGGGTGGCTTTTCAGCCGAAGTCTGCGAGATAAGTCCACATAACAGGTCGCGACGTTTTGTACGTTTTTGGACGAATGATGATAAATTTGCTTTGTAAATGGTTATTTTATTTTGAAAAATTGCTTTTCATATTGTTTTAATTGTCTGCATTGGTTAACGAGAATTAGATGCCACTCAAAAATGGCGGATATTCGTCATCGTGAGAAAGGCTAATTGATTCGGTTGTGATACCCGAAAATATCAAGGACTCTGTATAAGTGTTATCAATCTCGCCTTCTGCATCAATTTCTAATTCGGATATATATATTATATATCTGAAATAACTGTTTAAAAGAAACAGTTGCACGCAGCTTATTAAATAGATCAGTATACGAGTGTAACCCTCGTGTGCGCAGAATACTAGAAGAGTGCAAATGGCGGTACAGGCATTCTCAGTGCAAAGTCTAACCTTGCAATCTTCAACTAAGCATACAGGACTTGAACCAGTTGATCTGTCCTCGACTAACGACAAACCTCTCGCAGAAATTCGCTTAAAGATAAAATAACGCAGCAGCCAATTACACAAGGTGTCCCAAAAAAAATGCAATAGATGTTCCTACGTTCCAGATTTCGACACAATAGTAAACATCGAAAATTCAATCTGAGAGATGAATTTTTACACTGTAAGGTTATTTTAAAATTGATCTACTAGAACCAATGTCCTGGCTGTTTGAAGTAAGGGGCCATTTGAAGGGGCTTTTCAAGGGACTGTTTGAAGTAAGCAGGCATCTCTATGGATTTTAGCCTGCGAATGGGTATTGGAAAAAAATCACTTTTTCCGACCACCCGATTCCCCGGGTGAGATGCCTGCGGAGGAGGCTAGGGGACATGAAACATATTAGCTTTTTACCTCTCCACTTTCCTCCAAGAGTTTTTCATCATCACTATCAGTTTGTTTCATACAAGCCAGCTCCACCTCGGAGTCGACATCGTCATCTTCTTGTATAAACTTTCTGTCTGTGTATTTTAAACGAATAAATCGACCTCTTTCTTCCCTATGAAAATAAACTCGGAATAAACATGCTATTTATTTATTCACTTATGATATTGTACTGTATACGCTTAGAATATTTCTATAAATCTGTTAACACATAGTATAGCCGAGTTTGCATAATTTTAAATTTTTCATATGTTTTCCTGTTGATTTCTTTAGAAAAAATTGAAAAAGTGCAAGAACCAATTATTCAATAAAAACTGATGTTAACAACAGTAAAACATTACTGAACGTATAAGCCACGAGAATACGATGATTAAGAAAAATTAACCTTGTGGAAAGTGTGTATTATAAATACGCGACAAACTGCACAGTTACAACGTTAAAAGGTATGTAAATTTATTGAAACACGAGAAAACGTTTTATGTCTATATATGTCTGTATATATTTCATAATAAAAACTGCTGAAGTGCAAAACCGAAAAAGTGCTAAAGTTATAGTGCTAATATCCTTTTCTATTGAAGACAGCTCTTTTTACTAATCTGTATTACTATACAGCTCTGCATGCAAGAAATATTCATGTCAAAATAAATAATATAAATTATATATCCAATATATACTCACTTTGTCGAATCACGTGAAGGTTTTTTATAGCCATCCAAATTTCCTTCGTATATCGCGTTCACTTTGGTATTGCCATGAGACTCCATAAACTGAAATTACATTAAGTGTAACATAAATTGCATCATGATCAATTGGAAAATCAAAGATAAACAGATATAATTTTCATTTCTATGTATTATATGACCTGAAGAAAAAATGTTTCTCCAGAGAGCTCCATATATATCTGGACCGAGGACTGGAGACCAAAGAGTGAAGCCAAGATGGCGGGAATGGACCATTTGCATTATAGACTAAATTTTGATCTAAACAAGTCTAGATAAAAATTTCATCACAGCTTGAAAGAGCATCACAAAATTAGTAATATTCCAAAGTTTGGTTGGGACTGAATGTTGTAAAATGCAGATAATATAGCCTTGCGAAGTTTGCCGTTTTTCAGTCATTTTGCATTACGCGGGGGAAAATGACAGCCCAATACCCTTTGGGGCTGTCAATTTCCCGTTTGTAATACAAAATGACTGAAAAACGGCAAACTTCGCAAGGCTATATTATCCGCATTTTACAACATTTCCCAACCAAACTGTGGAATACTACTAATTTTGTGATGCTCTTTCAAGCTGTGATGAAATTTTTGTCTAGACTTGTTTAGATCAAAATTTAGTCTATAATGCAAATGGTCCATTAACGAGCTATTGAACGTCAGTTCCAGTCCCTTTCTATTGTTTTTGTCTGCGCGGTTAACACGAAGCTGGCAAGGAGTGTGCCGAAATTTCGTATTTTGACATCGATTTAAAGAATAACACTATGGATTTGTGAACTGATACTTTGTTTGGCGATACGGGCCGCAGAACAAAAACTGGAATTAGCTGGAAAAAAATGGTGTGAAAGCTGTTTGCGACCTTCATAGCTACTGGTCACATTGAAATGAAAATAACTGGAACGCTACTTCCAACCGGAAACTTGAAGGCAAACTTGAAGGCTAGTTCAATTATTCGACATCAATTTCCGCCATCTTGGTTTCACTACTGCAGTTCTTGCTCCAGATATATATATAGAGCTCACTGGGCTTCACCTGTACGACTTTTTCCTCCCACTTGTCCAATGTCAGTGATCTAACTTTCGAGACGTGTACCCCAAGACCTCGGTGGACTCCAGAACATTCAATACACATCACTATGCCAATATTTATACTTGCCCAATCTGGACCTACATGGAAAACAATGGCTTGGAAAACAATGGCTTGTAACTATACAAACAACATACTATATCAAAAAGTATAACAGAACTATGCAAACAATATACAAACAGCAGACATATATTTATCGATTCATTAAGATTCCCAATGTAAGGCAACGTACGTGGATGATCGCAGTCAACGCATCTCTTGTTTCCTTCAATCTTTCGAATTCTTTCCGATGCATTCGCGACAATCTGTTTATTCTCTTCCGGTTTAACATATCCATACGCGTAGGTTGGTTTCAGGGACTAAAATTAACAACAGTTGATGATGATTGACTTTATCCACGAAATATATAGTTTACATATAACCTTTCTAAGAAATGATTTAGACATGCTTTTAATTTTTTATCTTTTAATACACACAGACCATACCTGCAGCTTTTCTTTGGACTTTTTTAATGCCTCAGTCGTCGCAGCCTAAGTAATAGAAGTATATATTATACATTTTGCTCAATTTAAATGACGTCACATACACGAAAACGAACTTCTATAGCCAAAATGGTGTAGTTTCGGGAAGGTATATTGCTATACGTCAATGTCGGTGTATTTGCCAATAAAAAAACTAGAAACTAAAAAAGGATGCAAACCTGAATGGCGGCGATCCATTGATGCATCTCATTTTCAGTCAAAGCTTGAAGAACGTGCTCACTTTTGGGTGAAATTAACTAATATATAAAAATATTAGAAAACATATTCAACTACTTATTGATAAACAAAAGGTTACACTGTATGGTGAGGATTGATATAGGATTCAACCACCTGAAAAATACAAGTAAACTGTACTGAACATGCAGTATAGTAGTACTATACGATTGACAATAAACGACAAATTTTCTCTGGAATAATTGATTTGAATGTTGTTGTTTTGGCCGTCCTCGCTCTGCTGTCCCACAATATATCCTACAGTAGCACTCACTTGAAAACAGAAGTTCCTGTCAACTTCCAACTCATTACATGTTTTCACGTTGCTTAGCAACAAGTTAGCAAATTCGTTCGCCTCTTTTTGATCTATTCCCTGCACAAGAAGTCGTCCAGTTGATTCATCCACAACGAAGTACTGGAAATAAAATGCATGATAACATTCCGGCTATATTTACACTATTCCGGGTAGCCTTAACCGTATCGGATATATTGGCCTTCAATTTACACTATATATCCGATAACCGTATCGGATATATTGGCCTTCAATTTACACTAACTACATCACATTTTCGTAGGGATTCTGTAACGGAGACACTGCTCCAATCCGCTTTTCAACATAGCACGTTTTATAAGTTTTTATAGCGGATTTACTTTCAATATCTTTTATTTTTCATATTATCTTTCATGTGCTGTTATTGGATTAATACTAACAGCTTTTAATTATTACATGATCCTACTTGTTGTGGGATTAACAACGGGAAAACGTTTACAGCACCAGACTGAATTAAATTTGGAGACCAGTCATTAATAATTGGAGGTGGGGAGGGAGTTTTTTTTTTGGTCGAGAAATCTCAACATTTTACTTTTTCTTGAGACCACTCCCAAGTCCCAACGGCAAGGCATTTATTTTGAGCAGTCAGAATTATAATATAGTTTCATAAAGTTTTCGCTCGTTGGTTTTTTGTTAGAACGAACAATGGAAAAGTTAATATTCGATATGCGAGTTATAACATTACAGAGTATTCCCCCAAAAAATACAATAGCTGTCACCAGTTTTTTGCACAGCATCAAAAATTTAATCGAAGAGATGAATGATCACAGTTAAGCATCGTAAGAAGGCTTACCAGTAAAGGCCACTTATTTTTTGGAAAAGATTTCTGCCGCATCCTCAGATATCCGCGATGATGGTTTGACCATTTTGAAACTGCAATGATTTCTGGAAGTTCTGGTTCCAAACTAAATACAAACAAAAAAAACTTTCAGTCAATTTGTACGTTCAAACAAACTTTCAATTGGTACGTGTAATATTCCGCCAGTGAATTAAGTTATGTATCATGCATAAATTATACAATGGGCTAATTACGTATTCAGTTTACTCTGCCCGGCAAAGCAAGACAAACTTTTGCTAATTAATTTCCCATCCAATTTTCATCCAAATTGAACCAAAATTTTATCACTTTGTCCTTGGGCAATGTCCATTAGTTCCACAAATTTTCATATTAATACGTTTGCTATTTTCTACGTTATCGTGCTGACAAACAAACAAACGGGCAAACACAGACACACACACAAACGCGTATGAAAACATAACCTTCTGGCGGAGGCTTCCCGCTTCATTTTCCACACAATACACATTCAATCCAGTTTTAATAAGCAGATCAGTGGATAAGACTTACTTTTCTTCTGATTTGGTTTCTTCTAGTACTGGAGTAGTATTCTCACCACTCGTAGGAGCACTACTCGTAGGTTCACTACTCGTAGGAGTACTACTAGCAGGGGTTGTACTTTCCGCTGACTTGAAATCACTCCATGCAGAATCTTCTTTAGACTTCGCTTCATTCTCGTTGGCTAAAATATCGTCCAAGAACAAATCAACAAAAGTTCTCACAACCTTTTTTATTTAATGTTCCTACGACATTTTAATATCTCTGAGAGTTTGGATATAAAAAAGTATGGCGAAAAACACAATCCTATGAACCACTACTATTAAATAGCTTACCTGGCTGATCAACAATGACATCATCATTGTCATCATTTGTTGTTGTTTTGTCTTCAACTGCAGTTGATGTTTCTTTTTCAGGTTTATCTTCAGATTTGTCCTTTTCACTGTCTTGTAATATCTCCCATTGATCCTGAATTAATGCGAGAGAGTGGAGAAATGAAAACTGGGATACAGAAAAGAGCGTAAAGAGAAGAAAGGGAAAAGAGAGAGGGCTACAGGTAAGGACATGCAGAGATTAATCTGGGAAACGTTTCAAGGGGAGTTGGAAAAATATTTAGGGCAGATGTATCGGTCTGGACCCCATGGAATGTTAGGGCTTCGAACGTAAAGCCAATTACGTGACGTATTTATGCACTGTATATATGTAATGTTTATAATAAAGCATTTGTAAACTCTGAACGCTGATTCGCTAAGAGCCGTGTTGATATAACTCAATGTCAACACAGAAACATCGCAAAATTTCTTTCTTTATGTTTCTTTGTGCTATATTATAAAACAATTATAAAACATTTTTTCCGTATTGATATACAGTTATATCAACACTCGTAGAAATTGGGTAATAACTGTATATCAACACGGAAAATGTTTTATATTTGTTAAATATCAGTGTATCAATGAATGATGACTGCACGACTCGTCCAATTGTGTCCTTAAATTCATTACTACAAGTTTCTTTCGAAACATGACCCAGAGATGAATGGCTATCAGTTTTTCAAGTGTATAGACTCACAAGCAACACATAAAAGTGTGTCAAATTTTCAGTTTCATCTATCATTTAACCTTTCCAAAAGAAAGGGAGGTGCAATGAATCTCAGGGGAGGTACGCTCCTCCCCTCAAAATCAGGCCATGACTCATTATCATTATGTGTAGAGTTTGTAGCGAGAATCAAGCCCACTGCGCTGCGGCAGTTTTTTCTCAAGTCCCCCCGATGAGCATAGTTCAGCGCGGTCAAAAACACACAGAGTAAGTTTTTGAAATGCCTTAAGCTGGATAATTTCGACAGCGACATTTTTCGCTCGATTTCATTTGAATCGTGAACAGTCAAGTAGAACTGATTAGTTCGGATAGTCACGAAATAGAAGAAAGCAAGCGAACTATTTCAAAGATGAAGTGGAAATCCACCATTAATATTATTCTTAAGTTTGAACACGCCCCATCTGAAAATCAACACATGTATTTTCAACCATGTTGTGTACGGCCAGCGTGGCTAAATAAATTTGTAAGTAAGTACATAAGTATGCAGAGAAATTCACACTTAAAAAATATACCCATCGTACTTCTTTCTCAGTTACAGGAGATGATTGTTGTGAGCCTTTTGGACTTTTTCTCACAGATTCCCGGAGTCCTGTTTCAAAGAGAAATACGCGATGATGAAATACTCTAAAACCATGTCTGTGGTTTATTTATAGAGAAATGGATATATACCTGAACTTCCAAGTAAGTCATTTATTCTGTTGAAAAACTTCCCAGCTTGAGTATTTACGGTTGTCACAGAATGAGCTAAACTTGAAGATCTGTGAAAAAAAGGATGAGGTGATTTGCTTATACTCGATAGCTCTATCGATTCTAAACAGTTCTCCCTAGAGGTTCTGTAACGGGAATTCTCTTTTGTTCAGTTTATCGTACTGCTCGTTTGCAATCTAAGACTATTTTATTAATTAACAATTAAACTATTCAAGCCATTTTTTTCTGGAATGAATTTTGAAATTTTCATTGGGCTCCAATGATTGGGTTGGTGGATGCGTTCCATTGGCAAACACCAGGGGGGAATTGGCGAAGAGGACGATCCCTCCCCCACCCCACCCCCCAATATTTTCAACCATGAAAGTATGAAACCCTGAACAGATTAAAAAGGAAAGACTGAAAGGAGAGAATCATCTGAGTTAGAGAGTCTACAAGAGTACGCCATATTTGTCGTTTGCTTCAGTAATCCAAGTATCGCAATGTAAGAATGTGCAAGGCTACCTACCCCAGTATAGTTGCTGGAGTATGAAATGCGCCTTTGTCTTTTTCAAATGATCTGTCAATTTTCATCTGAATGACTTTCTTCAACCGTACATCGTTTTCACACGAAATCTACAAGACAGAAGAATGTTTATTCAATAATTAATTTCACTGTTGTTATTTGGATATCGTATTTATATCGTATATCAATAACGGAATTTCACACCATTATTTTATGATCGCATCGTAAAGAAAATTCAAAATGACACAATAAGATACTTTGCTAAAATTTTTAAACAATTTATCCTCACTATGACGTGACATTGTATAATAACTTGGGATATCGTGCATCGAAATCATAAAATCGTGCATAGGTGTTAGGTTAACATGCATACTACAAATGTGTTGTATGTCAACAAATTTGAAAAAGAGTTGATTAAGGCGGATTTCCAGTCCTTGCACGAAGCTCCTCGCAGCTCGCTGCGAGTGCATGCATGAGCACTTTCATCCAATCACAATGCTAAACAGTTAATTTTAATTAGATGCAAGCACTCGCAGCGAGCTGAGTATCTTACTGGTCATTTTGAATTTTCTTTACAACACAATTTTCTTTACAACACAATGGTGGGAATTTCGTTGCATAAATACTTTAACAAATCAGAGTGACATACTTTGGTCACAAAACCTTGAATACCGGTTTGAGTATAATAGAAAAAGGATGTTATAATCTCACCTAGCCTGCGAACAGGCATTTATTTCCCTCGGGATCTCCTATAAACGCCTGTTCGCAGGCTAAATCTCACCTCGCTATGAACAACACGGTTCAGTAAATCATCAAAAAGTTCATTAGTGTGGTCTTCCGAATCTTTCAGTATCTTAAAAAATATGAATAGTCCCTCAATAAATTTTAAACCAATAAGAATTTATATCAGACAACTGCGGATTGATGCAACTACCGAAAAAATACAAGAAAATCTTCGACGTTTCAAGCGAGGGCCCAGGGATGGAAAAAGTATTTTACTATGTGGAACCGCAAGAAGTCCATGCATTGAAACATTTTCTGTGAATAATCACGTAAATCGATACTTAGACACTGTAACTGTGTAACACTAACATTATTAACAAGTTATTAAACTGGGGCCAGTTGTACGAAAGCCGGATAGCGTTATCCACCGGATAGTGATTTTTTCAAGCTTTGTTAAATCAGTCGTTGATTGGTATAACTCGTATAAAAGTTTAGTACTTATAAGTTAAATGTTTGTTATACTTCTTGTGTCGTCTATATCCGTAGTTTCACTGTTTTTCAAGCATTTTACAAAGGTTGAAAAAATCACTATCCGATGGATAGCGCTATCCGGCCTTCGTACAACCGGCCCTGAATGTCATGCTATATTCTAGGAAAACAATTTCAGTGCACTGAGAATCTTAATAATACTTTTAGGAATATAACATAAAACTAATTTAAATAACATGCATCAGGAGTCAGATCTCGAGGTCAATTTATAGATGCCAAAAAAGATACTATTGCAGGGGGGGGGGGGGCACTACTAGAGAGATCTGGGGGAATGCTCTCCGAGAAAATTTGGAAATAAGGTGTCTCAGATTGATACATTTATACACTGTACTTATATGAATTTCTCCTTTTATCTAAATTTATACAATTATATTTTTCCTTCCTTGCATGGGGAAATTATTTCTGGGAACTCAAAAAAAAATTTCTGGGACCACTGGCTTTCACATGCATTTTTCCGACCCATGCATGCTACCATAGCAACCCAGATATATGTGTTGATTTTATTCTAAGTTTCTGAAAGTGAAATAGCTTTAAACACTCGCGCGTGGAAATTATCACGGTCGCGAGACGCTCGCGTGGGCATTGTCATCACGATGATTCATTGTACAATGAATTATCGTGATGACAATGCCCATGCGAGCGTCTCGCGACCGTGATAATTTCCACGCGCGAGTGTTTAAAGCTATTTCACTTTCAGAAACTAGAATAAAATCAACACATATATCTGGGCTGCCTATGATGCTACTAACTTCCCGATGAAGGGCCTTCGCTCGAATCGTCTAAGTTTTACTAGTATTTTTCAGGTAGTTAAATCCGAAGTGATCTGGTGTTTTTGTGATTACCTACGCCGGCACAGACCGTAGGAATTTATATGCCTACCTGATATGTAAAGTTGATAAAAAAGAATTTTGCCAAAATGTGTTCAACAAGTGTTTTAACGAACGAAACCTGAAACAAATATAAAGACGTTTTACAGAATATCTTCCTAAAATCCTTTTAACACCGAAATTGTTTTTCCAGCAAGACTGTTGCAACCTTGTTGGTTACAAGTTGCGCACAAGTTGCTGAATTACGAAGTAACAACAGAGTAATTGTTTACTTTAAATTCATCCCACTTGGCATACCTTTTTCACAGTATTCATTTCTCTCAAAGAATTGACATAAGTTGATAGTAGTAGTTGGTAGTGATGTCGAGACGTTAGCATGTTATAGGCAAGCTTGTCCAATATTGAAGACTATAAAATAAAATATATTAAATGCTCTATTAAACACCTTAGTTTGCACTCAGTACCAGCGAGATACAACTATTTATCTTGATTTGTCGCTCTCTGCTATGCTATACAAAACAACACATACCTCTTGTAAATTCGTGATATTTTGACAACTTGAGAACTTTTCCCATGACAAATTTAAGTCGTGACTTGCTTTCTTTACTTGTTGTCTCATTTCCTGAGGTGTAAAACGAATTCACAGTTCAGTGGCTACACGGTGAAATCAATTGGTGAAAATAAGCCAATTAGGTGTGGCAGTTTGTGGTCACAGTACCTTAAGTTTCTCAAATTCTTTTGCTAAACCTTCTAGTTGTCCACACATTAACATTTCAGTTTGGTTCAGAAACATACCATGATAACAATCCACTCTCTGCAGCATGTCTACAAACTTCAAATCATTATTTAAATTGAGTTTCGTTTGTTTTTACATCTCAAGATTGTATACAGCCAATTCAAAAATGGTTGTCCTTTGAAAAACATTAAACTCTAAATCTTAAACCTTAAACTCTATAAGCGCGCAAAGCTTAATGGGAGCACAAGTTTCAACTGTATATGTCAATTAATAAATTCAAATTCATATAACAGAGAAGTCTTACTGCCATACAACATATACGTACTAATATAGGTACCTGTCTTACTTGTGTTTATTTTGCGCAGTATCAGGCTTTGCGCAGACAACAGGTGCGCGAAATTAAAACCGGCGTTAAAAATTATCCGCGCGGAAACGTTTCCTGTCGTAACAAGCGCGAAAGGATAGTCCGTTAAACAAGTCCACTGTTACCTTTAAAAGCGGGTTTTTTAGATTAGCATCTCTTGACAAAACATTTGCAGCTTTCTGAAGACCAGATGTTAAGTTCTCACTTGCAGAATTGAAGTCTACAGCGGCTTTGTGGTATGCTTTTGCACACTTTGAAACATGACTGACAACATTACCAATCTAAATGGGTTAAAAGGAATATTGTCACATAACTCACATACATGGTGATTTTGGGGTATTTTAGTGTTTTCCTATTGAATCTTATATATGACACATTATTTTATATTGAGTGTAGTATATTGAACTATTGAAGAGTCTTGTAGATGGAAATTATCGAGTAGAAATTTATATTATACTTCAAACATCATTAATAATTCATGAGGAAAACACAAAGAGAAATCATAAGCGTGTCGTGTCTTTATATGTGATAAAACACGCTTCAAATTTCAACTTGTATTTTCTCAGCTAATACAAAGTTATTTTGGAAAATTATTTCGCCAATGCCGTGATCTAACTGAGACGTTTTTGAAGCTGTTTAATAAACTCGTAGTTCGTGTTTTATCACATATAAACACTCCGCTACGCGTCGTGTTTTATATGTGATAAAACACTCCTACTCGTTTATTAAACAGTAATTATTATATATACATTTATATATACATACATAAATTTATTAGTATACTATGTATACTGTATGTATATGAATTTCCACTCCATAATTTCCATCTACAAGATCTTGCAATTATTATTGATTTGAATCGAGTGAGATATAAAAAAAATCTCGATATTTACCCATAACTTAAACATGGCGGTACCCTATATGTATACACATAACCTTGTGGTTAGTAGAACTTGACAACTGGACTCTGTAGCTCAGTTGGTTAGAGTGCTGCACCGGAATCGCAGGGCCGTAGGTTCGATTCCTGCCAGGGACCTGTAGTTGCATTTTTCGCAGCTGTTCCTGGTAGGTCTAGGTAAGTAAGTAAGTACGTGGGGTGTGACAATTTCCATCTACTTGAGTGAGTGTGTATACTGTTTATTGCACCCTTGCCCCAATGGCCTCGTTTTCATGTGATTATTTTCTCATGTTTCATGAATGTATGGAATCAAAGTAAAAATAAGTCAAGTATTTTATCTCATTTAATGTGTGAGGGGGAAATAAGGGAGATTTGGGGGAAGAAATTGCTAGTAGGGGTGGGGGTGGAATCCGGTGGATTTTCTATAAAATGTTTTAATCTTATTGCTGCATGCACGGCCTAATGAAAAGCAAACCCTGTTTGACTGTATTTTGACTTATTATGGTTGATTAGTTACCGTGCAAAAAGTAGTTTTAAATAAATAAATAAACAATATGACATAGGTCAAAACGCAGTGATTTTTCGTCCGCCACAGGATCCATATGTCGACGATATCCGTCCGACAAAAGTGTTTTCCTCGTTCTTTGAACATGCGGAAATGACATCAAATAAAGTTCAGTTGATTTCAAGCAATTCCTCGGTGGCCGAGTGATTAACGTACTCCGCTTGCACGAGCTATCGCTCGGATCAAATACGCGGGAGTGCAAGTCTGTAAAGGCCCATTTCCACTCAGGAAAATTTTCCGCAGAAAGAAAATTTTGTGAAATGTGATTGGTGGTCGACAAAAATTTTCCGTCGGAAAAAATTTTGAAGTTGAAAATGTTCAACTTTTAACAATGATATTTTCGGAAATTTTTCTGTTCGTGGAAAGAGTTTATCAGTTGAGTGGAAATGGGCCTGAAGAGTTCTTCCTGCAAACAGGTGGCCAAAACAGTTAGGATTCGGACCGCTTAGGATTTTGGACAGGTTTCCGGAAAGATTTAGGAAACATTTATTGTCCAAAAAACGTCAATGACAATGTTGCATGTATGTATGTATGTATGTACGCGTAATTCATTCTTTAAACATGCTAAAATGACACCAAATAATTTCCAGTTAATTTCAAGGAAATCCTCGGTGGTTGAGTGGTTGAGGCACTCGCCTCGTATGCGCTACCTCCGGGTTCGAACCCAGCAGTTGGTAATCCGGTGTACATACTGACGTTTCTTTCCCTGGGAAAAAGTGGCCAGAATGGTTAAGATCTGGTCACAGTTAGGTTTGGGGTTATCGTGTGGGGGCCACAAAATTATTGGCCAGAGAAACGTAGTTGTTGCGTGTACGCATGCGTAATATTGTGTCGGATTAATAGTCGTAGCGCATTACGACCCGGTGTCGATGAATATCCACGGCGAAATTATAAAATACTGTACCCCAAAGCCATTAGGTCAACTCCAACCTTAGGTCAAATCCAACAAAGGCTGAACTGAGAACAAGGTGCTGAGACTGCTGAGTCACTGTGGACTTTCTGTGTACAATAGGTGTTGGCATGAGTAAATGGTGGATGAAAAACCACCATATCCTTCATGGATAAGATGGTGCAGCGTCCATGAAGGATATGGTGGTTTTTCAACCATCCATGAAGGATATCGTGGTTTTTCAACCATCCATGAAGGATATGGTGGTTTTTCAACCATCCATGAAGGATATGGTGGTTTTTCAACCATCCATGAAGGATATGGTGGTTTTTCAACCATCCATGAAGGATATGGTGGTTTTTCAACCATCCATGAAGGATATGGTGGTTTTTCAACCATCCATGAAGGATATGGTGGTTTTTCAACCATCCATGAAGGATATGGTGGTTTTTCAACCATCCATGAAGGATATGGTGGTTTTTCAACCATCCATGAAGGATATGGTGGTTTTTCAACCATCCATGAAGGATATGGTGGTTTTTCAACCATCCATGAAGGATATGGTGGTTTTAGGTGTTTGCTGTACTGGGAACGGTTGTATAAAACTCTTAACTAATTTTTACCCACTGTTTTGGTAGGTAACTCTAAAATAACTTAACTGTAGTTAACTTTAACTACCTTTTTATACAGCTGGCTCCAGGTACATATTTCTATGCCATGTGTAAGTGCATTTCCATGAAGACAAGTAGACTTATGATTACTTGTTTGGATTGAGTGTGTTCACATTATTAATGATGGATGCACCCCTATCGAATTTCTGTTGTAGACTGTTCTATCTGCCACCACAACATTACAATTTTTTAAGTGGGTGCACATTTTGCCTTCCCCAGAAAATTATGTTTTGGAGTACTTTATTAGTAATAAAGCCCTGATCAAACAAGAATGAGGGTTGATGAGAACTGGCAGTCAAGCACTCTAGATTAACAAAATAAAGATTTGATAGGTGTTCCAATGGGCTTTAGACATAAAAGAACATTCTCATCCCACAAACTGACTTTCCTTCCAGTGAGTACCCAGGGTTTTTAGTCAGGGGGGGTGTGTGAAAAAATAGCTAATATTTTGGTAGAGGTTTAAAAACTAAACTAACTTTATTCAAATTGGATATCTCTTTCAGTTTTAAACTTTCCTATGCTTAGAAGTTTCAGGCCTGCAAATTAGTGTCGGTTATCAGACATTGTCCGGCCAAATTTTACCTTTTGTCCAACCAAAGCTTTTTATGACCGGACATGTGACCAACCAATTTAGGCTGGTCCAATCTCAAAAAATTATTTAACACATTTTTTATTAATGAAACCAACAAGAAAGCAAATATAGACAGCACTTCTCCACTATTTCATAGATTTGACTATTTCTTGCTGCATTAAGCTGTAAGATTTAATTATAAATCTACATCACCTTCGTATATAACATGGTAGAAATTAAAGTTATGCATAACCTGAACTATAATTGACTGATGCATTAGGCTAATATAATGTAAGAATGCTAATATAAAAAAAATATGAAAAAAAATTTACTTTGTCTAGTGTTGTTCGAGAAAAATTGATAAATGTCCGACCAATTTTTGGCTTGGCCAGACAATTGTCCTTCCAAGTAAAATAATTATTTGCAGGCCTGAGTTTGGTAAGGCTCATTTGTAATTTACGTGGCTATATATGTACATAGTGTTCAGTAGACAAACCAGATGCACTCTTCACATTTGACTAGGGCAAAACTATCACCAGGAAAATAGTTGTTAAATGATGGCATGCAGTTCAAAATGAAAGGCACAAGCAATATTACAAAACCTATATTAATTGTGTCAACATTTCCTTATAGGAAATCAGAGGCATATTTCCATAATAAAGTTGGTTTTGTTTCTGATAAGCTGAATGATTGAACAGGTGTTCGTTGTGGCTGATGTCAGTAAACTTGCATTCGGTGTAGTAATCTCTTAATAACACCCTAAATTCACCCCCTAACCCCCACAACGAACACCCATGAGTTGAGCCCATTTTCCACTAGGCAAATTTGTTCACACGAACAGAAAAAAGTAGAAACCGATCAAATTTTTCGCTGCAAATTTTTTCCCTGACCAATCACATTGCCAAGATTTGTTTTTCGCTTCTGGTAAACAAATTCGCCTAGTGGAAAATGGGCTTTAGTCAAACCGAATGATATAGAGATACTCAGCTCTGTTGGTTTATTGAAGTTTATTCAACAAACTATTTGAAACGTTGAAATTCTGCTTTTTTTCAGGTAGTTTTGTCACTTGTTATTCAACACTAAACATGAACAAGAACTTGCCAGCTTGGGTCATCTAAATACTCTGTTTCCCCGGATGGGGAAGGTGGGGGTTTCAAAATACCAAATCAAAATTAAGTGTGTTTCACTATTAAATACATTAATATATTATAAAAAATATTATACCAATTTAAATGCCATTAGGAAGAACCTAAATTTGTTTTAATTTGTAAACAAAATTAAAATATGATGCATCAGTGTGCTGCATCATTGCTTCTGAATATTAAAAGTTCGAATATGTTGCAACAAGAATGAAATCTCTGTATAATGTATATTATATTATTAATGTTTATTATACATAAATAATATTTGAGTGAAATCACAATTCCTTAGATATTTTAAACATGGACTATATATTTCTCAGTCATACCTCTTCTGTCTGTTGTTCCCAAAATTTCAGAGACTGAAGACAATACGGGCTTTCGTCCAAAATATATCCGAGCGAAGGCAGATCGGGCAAGACAGTTGATTCATCATTAACGTAAAAAGTCATTGCTCACCAACAAATTTACAAGAGGATTATGATTATAAAGACTTTAGATGTAGTTTAGTAAGATAACAAAATAAAGTTTAATTAAATCCAATGATTCTACAATTTCGTTGACATTTGATCGCTTCGATGTTGTGGTTTGTTTCGAATACCATAGACGAATACAATGGAAAAGTTGATTGGCTACTTTGTGTAGGGTAAAACGAAATGCCATTATATTTTAGGTAAGAATTCGTCCCCACATTCCCCCGGTAATAAATCTTGGTGCAAGTGTTTTCAGGGGGGAGCAGGAATGAAAACTAAAGGCAACCACTTGAGTCACTTGACAAGGTAGCGAAGGTCAAACCATCCAACAGAGTTCCCGAAAGGAAATTATTTTGGGAAATGATATGAAACAGTTCAGTCTTCTATGTAGAGGTACTATTTGTATAAATAAAATGTGGTATAGTTTCATTGACTCCAAGCACTTTTATTGTGATTTTGAGAACTGTCCAAGTTGAAAGTGCCCTATATAAAATATGCAATTACATCACATGTGCTGTAATTTATTGCTAGGTGATATATTTATATTGATATGAGCTATGTTGTACAAATATTTCACTTACCATAAAGAGTGTATTGAGGTCAACAATTAGGCTGTTCCAATTACATCTAGCTCTATCCACCCTGCCCCCCCCCCTTAACCCCCTCACCCCCCGTTCACCCTTCGGCTTCACCTTTTGTCTACTGATGAAATCTGAGTGAGTGGGTGCTTCTAGGTAAATCTAAATATTATGACATGAAGTCATGATGTGTGGGTGGTAAGGAGCTCCACTATCTCATAAAGTGGGTAAATACTATTTCGCTGACCTCAGAATGACATTTCGTTAAAACTTTTTTCTTCAAGATTGGTTTAGAAACAAATTTGGCATAGGGTTAGGTTAGGGTAAGGATTAAGGTTAGAGTTGGTGTTTGGAATAGTGTTAGTGTTAGTAAAACCATTGCTTTGTTACGTTTTGTCACTTTGAGGCCAGCGAAATAATCTCTTCCCATAAAGTGGGCCCCTTAACTGGTGGCCCAACAACCAGCTATTAACTAATTGCTTGGCTCTTAACCCTTATTTCTCTTTCATATATTGATATTCTGATCTATAGAATGATGGCTTTATTGAGGTTTCATGGACAAGGGTCAGAGAAGTTCATATTTATCAAGTAATGTGAAGAAATTGATCTGCTTTCAGCCAGATGGCTTCCCTCAGAAGGGCTGTTATGGTGACCTATTCTTTAAAGATGGTTTGTTAAACTGGAATGCAGTTGAAGAGATATGCAATCTGGATCAATGTATGCACTGTATAAGAATTTTATACATAGACAAATTTTCAGATTTTGCTTTGAGAGGATGCTGAAAATTCAGGAGGGGGGGGGATTGAGCAAGGGGAGCATACTTCCGGGTGAGCAAGCTGCATGAGGGGTCTGGGGGCACAGTAGTGGGGTCAGGTGTTTGGTGTAAGGTGGTGAAACTCTTTCATATCATTTATATGGGACTGGTGACTATCAACATAATGACAATAAGAATGTGTTCATTAATCAGCAATTTTTGCGATCGACTCATTCCTACAAAAAATAACATCCTCCAGGAGCATAACAGAGGATTTAGTACTATTAAGGTTACAGGACACCTTTTGTGGCGTTTCGCGGAGAATCGCTACTACGCGCTTATTAAGCGTCCGATTTTTGTCAAATTTTCAGATTTTGCTTTGAGAGGATGCTGAAAATTCAGGAGGGGGGGGGATTGAGCAAGGGGAGCATACTTCCGGGTGAGCAAGCTGCATGAGGGGTCTGGGGGCACAGTAGTGGGGTCAGGTGTTTGGTGTAAGGTGGTGAAACTCTTTCATATCATTTATATGGGACTGGTGACTATCAACATAATGACAATAAGAATGTGTTCATTATTCAGCAATTTTTGCGATTGACTCATTCCTACAAAAAATAACATCCTCCAGGAGCATAACAGAGGATTTAGTACTATTAAGGTTACAGGACACCTTTTGTGGCGTTTCGCGGAGAATCGCTACTACGCGCTTATTAAGCGTCCGATTTTTGTCAAATTTTCACCAAATGTTTGCCAGGGCATGCAGAATATAATAAAGTTGTCAAATTGACAAACCAATAAAATAATCCAAGAATTACTCCGGAAAATTAAAAAACTCGGTACCTTCACGTCTTTGAGTTGTTCTCCTGTCGGTTTTAAGATATATTTTCGAAAATAACATTATTGTAGAGCTAAATAGTTGTTTTAAAAAAATGTGTTCGGCTTTGTTTAGCTTTTTCGCCGTTCGTTTGATATATTGATTTCTTTGATTATTACAATATATTTCAAATTATGTTGACTGAATTGCTCGTAATTCACTAAATATCCAAAATTAAAACAAAGCCGAACACATTTTTTATGCTGAAGTCATCAGCTATGCGCTGTGCAAATTTTAGAACAATCGGTTACAACGCACAGGAGAACAACTGGCTTGAAAATCAGTAATTACCGCAAAAATAGTCCCGAGAAAATTGAATTTGAATATTACATTTTCAATGTTGTTTATATTGCAGAGAAATGTATTTTATTAAATAACTCCGCGAGTTTTCAACATTTTTCTTTCAAACTTGGTCAGATATTAGAAGTGGTCTAAAGCTTTTATGAAAGCCAATAAAAAAAATTTGGGCCAATTTAACACTCAAAGGTGTCCTGTAACCTTAAATATTCCTTTGATAGGTTTTTCTCAAGATGGGGTGTCTGACTACATCATGGCCATTTCACATTTATATCCAGTTTCCTATCAAGTACATGCCAGCATATGTCAATTGACAACAGAAGAATTTGAGTTAAAATATGAAAATCTCCTAACTTGGACAACAAAATCCAAACATCTGCTCCGTTGTTTTAATTTACTAAAATCGCCTCAATCACAGACTGGTTGCCTTGTGACATCACTGCTTTTGCTGACATCAACTTTAGAGCGTCTCCTAGGAGATATTTTCCTGACATGTTCAGACGAGACTGTCACTTGTCCGTCGTTGTTAAAAGATTTGTTGAAGATGCAAGAATTAAGAAGTGTACTTGGTGAAAGCTTTATGAACTGTCTTGAAGTGTTCATTGGTTCACCTTGTGGTCTTAATCTGCGAAATTTAGCCTGGCATGGATTCCTGTCTGATGGAGAGCTTCCTGCACAGTATGTGTGAATATTACCATTGAATTTTGCACACTTTAAGTGGTATTGCATGCTCATGTGCCCTACTTTGTTATTTTACTTTGTCTATTGCCAGACAATTTTACTTGTCAAGAGGAGAGTCAATGGGTTAATAACTAAGACTAATTATCTGGGTCATGTCATACTTGCTAATTCCCTTTAAGTGGCATTGCGCCCTCATGTCTCGAGCAGGATTGCTGGTCTATTGGGATAACCCATTGAGCTATCAAGTCAACAGGTGTGCACAAAATATTTTTGTGCCAGCTGTTATTGGAGAATATGTTGGAGAATGCACAGACTGTTTCAATTCTATTCTGAAGACATGGTTCAGAAAATTGAAACACTGTATTTCCTTCAAAACAAGCATTAAGTCATCACAAAAATATTTTGTGTACTTAAATTGGCTTGATAGCTCAATGGTGAATGGTTCTATGGTAGAAACCCGAGAATGCAAGTTTGAGTACCTCTAATGAAACAACCAAAAAATATGAAACTAGTGGTTGGAAATATAACTCTGGAATCTAATTGCTATTATAATACTAATCAATTCCCGTTTTAATAGTATTGGGTCTTTCTTTAATTTGTAGCTATGTATCATTCTTATTGATGCTAACGATCTCTTTGGCTGAAACCGCCAAAGCCCACAATGAACAAACACACTTTGAAAAGCTAAGTGAACGTCAATTGATCAAATACTCGGAAAGTACTATCATCAAAGATGTATTTCAAAATATTGAACTGACTCAGACTGATAACTCCATGAGCAAGTTGTTTTCCAGAAGTCATTTTGTCACAACATCAATGCTGTCTTTGTGGTATTTGGCAAGTGATTTCTTTCAACAGGAAAGGTAAATAAAACATGTAGTACTGGTACTTCAACAAGTCAGTTTTTCTGCACCTTTACTTACAATACTCGATGCCCCCTTCTCCCACCTCCCCTTTCTCCCACCTCCTTTTTCTCCCACCTTTCCTTTGTCCTACTTTCTCCCACCTCCTCCTTCTACCACCTCCCCTTTCTCCCACCTCCCCCTTCTCCCACCTCCCCCTTCTCCCACCATATTCTTCTGACGTATCAGTTAGAGTCGCATCATTTTCGTTCCAAACCAGGTATGAATATGCTGTTATGATATTGTTACCTCAACTTGAACACTCTCTACGTCGACTGTACGCCAGTGTTAATGAGATGCCGGGAAGAGTTCAAACTGCTGAATCAGCGGAGTTTTATACAACATTTAACGAGGTATGCTCGGTCACTGACCTACGCTTTTGTATCCTCCCTTTAAGTGCCACTAACCCCAAATATGATCTTTGGCATAAGTGTGTTGGTCATTCTAAAAAGAAATGTAATCTTTATAGTGAAAAATCTCATCTTAATCAACTTTAACTGTTAAAAAACTAGTTTCATATTTATTCTGACACTGCAGAGGACAACGAAAAATTTGTTTTCTCGAGATTCGAACTCGCATCTTCGGGTATCTAGACCGCCGCTCAACCTCGTACCAGGGTCCCCGTGTTCAAACCTCAAAGCTTCTGGTGCCTACGCGTGCACCAGAACCTTTAAACACGGGGACATTGGGTACGAAGTTGGACCGCCGCTCTACCCATCGAGCTGTCGAGTCAACGGGGATTGGTAGCGAGTCTTGTCCAATTTAAGAGTACGGAATTTTTGTCGTGACGACTTAACGCTTGTCGTGAAGGACGCGCAGTATTTCAATTCCATTTCAGCCGTAAGAGATATGTAAACCATCCTCACAGATACACCGGAGGATGGTTCTGAAATTTCACTGTCAAAGTTACCGGATATGATGTTATTAGGTGAATTTTAGCAGCACGAAACGAAGGCAAACTGATTTGCAATCCATCTAATGGCGTCATATACGTCATATGATTTCAGCTTTGACAGTGAAAAAGTTGATAAAGATGCATTGCATTCCTATAATTATACTACACACGTAAAAACGCAATAGTTGTAACAATCCTACAGCAGACTTGTAGCAATGCTGTTCCAACAACTTGCCGACAGGATGTGTTCGCACTGCTTGTTCCCAGCTTGTTGACAAGTTGTACCAACGGCTTTTGATAAATTGCTACAACTACAAGGTTGCTGAGCTCAACAGATTTGTTACAAGTTGTTCCAACAACTTGTTATCGTTCTGCAATTCAACAATTTGTCAACAAGTTGTCGCAACTTGATAAAATAACAGCATTGTTACAACTTGTTGACCAGCTTGCTACAAGCCTGTTGCAAACACATCCTGGCGAAACGTTGTGAGATTTTTACTTGTGTATAAAGATATATTGCACCGCTCCCGATCAAATTGAGAAATATTTTCATGATTGTATATATTTTTAATTACGGCATTAATTTTTCATGGTTCAGATATTGTCTCCCGAACTTGCAAATGGCACTCCAAATTTACTTCTACAGTTCCTGGAACCCTGCTACATCGAGCTATTACTAGATATCCTTGTTCACCCCGAGGGCTCACGACTTCGAGACCATTTGAGTCATGGAGAGGTCGATATTCTTCACTTTCCAAAATATCTCGCAAATCATGTCCTTTGTATTGCTATTACATTCTGTTTACGCTTTTGCCCAGACGATACTTCAGGAATAGACTGTTTTTCAGGGAGAGATTGTTTCTCAGAATTGGACGGGCATTTTGGACAACTGGATAACTTTTCCGAGATATCCATAACTGTACAAGATTATCGGTCTATTTTTCATCCATTTTCTTGCTTTCGGAGAGAGCTTTCGACATTAATTTGTAGCTTACTCGAATGGAAGAATTTAGCTCAACCAAACGAAGATGAATTTCAAGAGAATTGCAGTGAAGACTTGTACGATAAAACTGCTTGGGAAAGAATAATAAATACGATTTTGCAACAAACTTCATTTGCAAAATCATCAGCCGAGATGGCCGACAGATATACCTCTCAAGAGGAGAGGTCAGTTTGTGATGAAGAAGTATTGAAGATTATGCTATCATTGCTTGATGATTGTGAATTGCATACGTTGTTTAGACCTCGATATGAACTTGAGGTGATCCTAGTGTTGCGTCAAGTGGCTGGTCACTGTTTGCAGACATCTCATCAGGTTGGTTAACCATGGTCAAACGAGGATGAGAATTGATGAGAGTTTAGACTACCTACAAGTCGATTCGCACCGTAACACATTGTATCTTGTCTCGCATTGTAAGCTGGAGTAAAAAGAGTGAGAATGCGTGAGCGAATAGCTAACTAATAATACGAGTTGACTTGCAGCAAGTCTAATGAAAGTTAACTAGCGCCGGAGAGTTTGCATTAGAGTTTTCTCAACTCTCATGTCCCGGTTAAACGAGATCAAGAGTTGCATGAGAGTTGCATGCTTGATGAGAGGCGACTAGCCTAGATACTGCTCAAACGAGCAAAAACGCTCGTCAACTCTCTTCAATATTTCAACCAGCTCAACTTTGTTTCTCCTTCTGATGGATGTGAACGAGTAGATGAGTTATAAATGTTCTGAGTATACGTACCCTCATCTGAACATTCATAACTTATCCACTCGTTCACATCTGTCAGAAGAACTAAATCGCAGGCCCAAGCCACAGAATAAAGATCAGTACCAGAAGGGCCACTCAGCGGTGCAACGTGTCACCATTTTTCTATGCAAAAATATGCAGTTGACTGGTCAGAAGGCGGGGCCTTCAGCCAATACTGCGCGTTTATTGGCCAGAAAATGTAATCGACTGGCTAGGAAGATGGCGGCCAGCGTGACAGAAATTTCAAAGCTTCTGACGTAAGTGGCCCTTCTGTGTGCCTTATTCTGTGCCCAAGCGTTACCTAATTTCTCTAATTGGTTCGATTTCAGATACAACAGATATCGCAAACAAGATATAGCGAATGGGAACAGAAAACGTTGAGATCAAGACAGAGAAATAACTACAAACGATTCTGGTTTCATCTTCCTTCTGTCGCTCAAACTTTATGTCTTTTGACAGTTGTTATAGGCAGTGAATTCAACAACATCAACAAAATGACTGGTGCTCAAGTCAAAAAGAATAAGTAAGTACAGTCTTTTTGAGTATTTAACTTTGTGTTTAAACCCATCTGTATTATGAAAATTGCCTATATAGCCCACTTTAAACCCTGAATGAGTGAATCCATATAAATGGCAGCCAGGTTGCTGGTTTCTTCACCGTTTTGAATTTTTGACCATCTTTGATTGTAATTAGATTTTTAAAGAAATGTCTTCAGTGTTCTGAGAACCTAGCCAGCTTGTCTTCTTCATCAAGGAACAAATGGTTGGAATGCAATGAAGTTTGCAAAACATGGCTGGACCAAGTATCTGTTTACTACGATCAACATATTGTTTGGAAACACGTAAGTACCGCCATTGATTATGCTGTATACTGGTGTGGTGTAGGTGTTTGAGATGTCCTTTTCAGATAGTTCAGACACAAACCACGGAAGCTTATTCTGGGGTGTATTGGCTTATTGGGGACTGGGTTCGGGTCGCGTTGGGGAAGTTTTCGTTGGGGGTTGGGCCTGCGGCCTTGCATGGGGGTGGAAAGCAAGTGCGCTAACCACTTCGCCACCGAAGCCCCATTGTAGAATACTACCTACACTGGACACCCATGTTTGAACTATCTTTTTCAGGTAGTTCAGACTGAGGCAAGCCAAGGCAGCCTATTGTAGAATACTAACCAAATAATTCCACACCCGCCGGTATATTATTTGATAATTTTTACCAGTTTTCCTGGTTTTCCTAAATTATCAATAAACCCATGATAATGTCTGCACATTCTGTGGAGAGTAGAAGATTTAGGCAGAACCCCTCTCCCCTGCCGCAGAATGATCGATTGAATTGATGAATTGTGCAATTCCAAAAGTTTGAAATTTGATCTACTGCGCTTTGAAAACAATGTTTTAATTGTTAGATGTCAGGACACTCAGTGGCGCCGTGGGACCCTTGTTTTTTTTTTTGGGGGGGGGAGGGGGCAAGGGCTGTACTTTTCCGACAAACCTGAAAATAGTTTCCGCCAAAAAATTTCGGTCAGTGTACCATTTTAGGGGTCAAAAAAATTTTCCGGACATATCAATTTTCCAAAAATTTGTCAATTTTCCGACAACATTCACAATTTTCCGACGGGTCTCCACAATAGCCCGGCCATGGCGCCACTGAGGACACTGTGCCTAATTGCGAATTATGTATAAGGCAGATTTAGGCTTTCCACTTTAGCAGAACCTTCTGTTACTGAAGGAATCGTCAATGAACACAAGAAATTATGTGTGTCAAAATAAATTGCGCTTCCTCAAAATTTCCTTCGCAACATGGAAAGCTTGCAAGTACCAAACTGGGCAAAATTTTGAAAGTATTTTATTCAATAAAAACTACTGTATCCTACAATCTACATGTATTAATCGTTTAGAAAAATACTGTAAATATAATTATTCAGGTAAAATATGAAATACATTGTTTAATATATATTTCGCTGACTTTCAAGCTCAGTTTCATTTGGGTATAATATGCGGCATGCCTGTTTATGTGAGAAAAGGTATTTTACTACTATACTTGCTAAATACAACTATATAATTATTTTTATTGTGAAATTATCAATTCAAGTAATAATTGTTTGTGTTGACTGTCACTTTTCCACAGATTTTCTGCCATAAGTATAAAATAAAGCTTTACAGCCGCAAGCTTCTAAGTAATGTAATGGAATGTCTGAAATTGTTACAAATTTCTCGATTTCCATTCCTGCTTCATTCATTGCTTCTTTCACCAGTTTCTCGGTTAGGGGAAAGACAGAAAACTTCTCTTCGCCTACGTAATAAAACGTATCTCCTAGCACGCCGTTCATAAACAGGCAGCCGTTTGGTTTGAGTAATTTGCAGAGTTCTGCGACGGCATTCTTGTAGTGCACCTCAGACGACACACATGACTCCAGACACAAACCTGTGGACACAACGTCAAATGGTTTGGCAACATCATCAGTATCAAGTTGGACTATTGGAGCTTTGTTCACATCACATGGGACAATAGATTTGATTTTTCGTTTCAGTTCATCAGCCCGATTTAGTACACAATCGAGCTTCTCTTTGTCTGCGGAGGTTTCACTTTCACTTCTCTCATCTACAATGCCTCGTCCTTGTTCGAGTTCAAGAACAGCAATTTCAATTAAAGGCATCCAGTCGTGGGCTTCAGCGTCGCCAGCAATCCAAGACTTCACGGCTTCTCTATTTGCTTCTGTATACTCGGAAAAGACAATATGATCCACTTTTGGGCAAGCAAAAACAAGGTTCATTATAGAAGGTCCACCACCAAACTCGAGATATCGAACGTTCGTCTTTTCCGTGTCTGTTGGTGCCTTAAAGCTCGACCAAAACTCATGCAATGCTTTAATAAACGGCGACACAGATCCATCTTCATTTTCGTCTCCTTTGAAGTTTTTATAATACTGTTCGAGGAAGGTTTTTGGGTCAAAATGGGTATGATAATCTTCCTCGCACTTGACGTTTGCCATTTTTGCCTGGATTGTGCATGCACAATTCCAAAAGTTTGAAATTTGATCTACTGGTGAAGTACTGCGCTTTCAAAACAATGTCAATGTTTTAATTGTTAGATGTCAGAACACTGTGCCTAATTGCAAATTATGTATAAGGCGGATTTAGGCTTTCCACTTTAGCAGAACCTTCTGTCGTGGAAGGAATCGTTAATGAACACAAGAAATTATCTGTATCAAAATAAATTACGCTTCCTTAAAATTTCCTTCGCAGCATGGAAAGCTTGCAAGTACCAAAACTGAGTACCAAAATTCAATAAAAACTACTGCATCCCACAATCTACATCATGCATTCAGGGGCGGATTCAGACAGGTTTGACAGGTTTATATAAACCTGTCAGATTTTCCAAAGAAAGAAAACCTATAACCTTCCATGTACATATATAACTAATTTAAAGAATATTCTGTTTCATAAACTTGATGTTGTCTAATCTATTACGCCATTTAAATACTCTTATTGAAATTTGATTCTGGATTACCGAACGTATTTAGACCCACTTACATAATAAGCATTTAATTAATTAAGGGCTTATCGCGTTGGTTTCCTCTTACGAAATGTTGTAATATAATGACAAAAAACAAAGACAGAAATGGTACGACGAAAACTGTCATACGCTCAAAAAGAATCTAAGAAATTTGGGAAAGTTACTGACAAAGTATCCCAATGATCCCTTTTTACGCCATAATTTCTTCGCAAAAAGAAAAGAATATAAAAAGTTAATAAAGAAAATGAAGAGAAAGTTTCATAATTCATTGCTGGAGAAAATTCAAAATTTATCTGATAGAAATCCTAATGAATTTTGGAAGTTAGTTAATACAATAAAGACAAACAAATCTTCGGGAACCTGTAATGAAATATCGCCAACCGAGTGGTTTGATTATTTTGAAAATTTAAATAGATTCAATGACCATGGTGACAAGAATAGTCATGAAGTACAAATTGTAAAAGACTATAATATTTGGGCAGCGACAAAGAATGAAACGCTTGACAAACCAATTTCTTCTGTGGAAATTTATAATTTATCAAAAAAGTTAAAAAACAAAAAAGCTTCTTCAGTGGATTCTTTATCCAATGAAATAATCAAATTAGCAGTCAAAGCCTTACCATTATATTTTGTCAAAATTTTTAACACCATTTTATCAAAAGGAGTATTTCCATCCGCTTGGGCTAATGGCAACATTGTTCCAATATATAAATCGGGTAATACGTTTGACCCTGGTAATTATAGAGGAATATGTATCAGTAGTTGCTTGGGGAAATTTTTCACTTTAATAATGAATACTCGTTTAAATGAATTCCTGGAAGAAAATAACGTAATAAATAAGTGTCAAATTGGTTTTCGAAAACATCATCGAACAGCTGATCACCTTTTAGTTTTAAAAACCTTAATTGATTTTTACAAATCTCATAGAAAACCGATTTTCGCTTGTTTTATCGACTTTAAAAAGGCGTACGATAGTGTTTGGAGAAAAGGTCTTTTGTTTAAGCTTATTTCATGCGGGTGCAGCAAAACATTTTTACGATTTATATCAAATATGTATTCCTCCGTAAATTACTCGGTTAAATTGAAAGATGGAGTAACTCCCCCTTTTCAATCTTATATTGGTTTAAAACAAGGGTGCAATCTTAGTCCTACTCTATTTAATATATTTATAAATGATATACCAAATTTGTTTAATCAATCGTGTGACCCTGTTAGACTTGATAATACGGACTTGAGTTGTTTACTTTATGCAGACGATTTGATTTTGTTGTCCGAGTCGAAAGCAGGATTGCAAAAGTGTTTATCAAAACTCGAAATATATGCAAAAAAACGGAAACTTAATATTAACAAAAAGAAATCTAACATTTTAGTATTTGGCACAGCAAATCAGAGACGCTCATATTTGCTGACAAAATGGTACTATGAAAATGAAGCCCTGGAACAAGTAGATGAATATTGCTACCTTGGAATTACTATTCATTTTTCTGGGAATTTTAAGAAAGCCCTAAAAGTCTTACGTGATAAAGCTCTAAGAGCATACAATAACCTTTTAAAAAAATTTTCTAATTTTGAAAACGTACCAATAAAAATACTTTTAAAACTATTTTCAGCGATGATAATCCCCATTTTGTTATACGGATGTGAAATTTGGGGACCTTATTTGATGTAATATATGAACAACGAGAGCGAGTGTTTCACCGGGATATCCAAACACGAGAAAATAATGTATGAGAACACGAGCGCGAAGCGCGAGTGTTTTCATACATTGTTTTCGAGTGTTTGGATATCCCGGTGAGACACGAGCTCGAGTTGTTTATATGGCTTCTCAAATGAATCGAGACGTAACAGAATGTTTTCGTTTGCTGATTTGAATAGAATTCTTAACCAAGCATAACGTAATTGGGAATTCTATTCAAGTAATTTTGCATGCGTAATTAAGATATTTGATGAAAACACTAGTGACTTTCATCAAGTATCCAAATGGCATCTTGTGATCAAATAGGTGATTATCATTGGCTGAATTACTCATGAATTATTAATGAATTTGAGAAAGGGAGAGTAACTACCTTTGAGATCTTTAAGAGTAAATTCTTCCGGCAAAATTATCAATGAAATTGAAAGAATTCATTTGAAATTCTGCAAACGAATTCTTGGCGTGCACTCAAAAACAACAAATTTGACTATTTATGCCGAATTAGGAAAGGTTCCTTTGATTGTTCAAATTTGTACTCTTGTATAGTTAAATACTGGATTCGTATTAGCAGTACATATTTTAATTATACGTTATCTGGTGAAGCTAGAAACGTTTGCATGCGTTTGAATCTAAAACCAATAGTTTTCATACAATTTTTGCTAAAAATGTGTAAATTAGAGATGAAGGACTTCGAAAAATTTTCAAACTCCAGTGATGAGTCAACCAAAACAAGACGAAATTTTTGCCATTATTTAAATGTTACATTAAATAACGAATTTACCTCATTTTGGAAAGACCAGGTTCTTCAAAATGGTGATAGTGGTAAATTGAAAGAATATAAGAAACTTAAAGTAAATGTGGGTATTGAAAAATACCTTTTAGAAATTAAAAATTTTAAGTACCGTCAAGCAGTTACAAGATTACGAGTTTCAGCGCACAGATTACCAGTAGAAATTGGCCGATATAAAAAAATTGCCTACTGTGACAGAAAATGTAAGCTTTGTGATCAGGGTGAAGTTGGAAATGAACAACATTACCTAATGTCATGTGGTAACACAGTGTTTACATTTTTGCGACAGAATTTTATTAATTCTGTATATAAAATTAACCAATCATTTATATATTTTGATACACAAAGTTTGTTCCATTATATACTGAGTATGAAAGATAGAAATATTCTGAAAGTATCTTCAAAATATTGCTACGATATACTAAGAACTTTTGACATATTGAATGAGTTAGCCTGAATAAATTATTTGTAAGTTTATATACTGTAATGTCTTTTTTTATATTTTATTTTTTGTATCATAACCGCCCGCAATTATGAGTAAACCGGCGGTCAGAGTTTTCTCAATGAGAGTAAACCGGTCGATACGCCATTCGATTGGCTAAACGGCTGCGCTCCGGCGGATGTAAACCGGTCATAAACCTGTGAGTCGAGCAGTATTTAGAGAAAACTGGGAATGAAAGTTAACAGAACTCGAGGACGCGCGAAATATGTTTATCATTTTGCGTGACTGAAAATTGCGTTGGCGACAGAAGCATTTACATGGATTTCTTGTTCATTTTGAAGGTTTGTTTAAAAGTATATAGTCTAAAGTTATAACTGTAAGCTATTTCTACTTACTGTGTAATAAATATCGATCCGTCAACAAGCGTATGGATGTTTATACGTGTAACTTCTACACAGTCTACTCTCATGATAGCGCGAAATATGTGTATAATTCTTATAATATTGCGTGACCGAATCATTGCGTTTGCGATAGAGAATCAGGAAATAATTGTAACGCTTTCACGCTCTTGCAGTTTGGTTTTTATTTCATTGTTAAAGCGGTTGGTTTGAAAGCGTATAGATCTAAAATTACAACTATGTTTATATTAATAAAAGCATCTCTACTTGTTGTACTTATAATAAATATCGATGCGTCAGCAATTTGCCAATCCTATATTTTTATCACCAGCTAATAAGTTTCCGAAAAGGCTCAATTCATTGTTTGAGCTGCGTATATTAGTCCAAAATTCTCTTAAAACATGTATTTTCTAACCATTAAATTAATTTAAAAGGTGACACCAGAACGCAGGAAATGCTGTTTCAGAGGCCCGAATTTTAAAAATTTCCCGGGGGTGCATGCCCCCGGACCCGACTAGTGGTTGTGTCGACCTAGTAAACCTGTCATCCAAAACGCTGGATCCGCCCCTGTGCATTGATCGTTTAGGAAAACACTGTAAATATAATAATTCAGGTAAAATATGAAATACATTGGTTTAATATATATTTCGTTGACTTTCAAGCTCAGTCTCATTTGCCATTTAGGTATATTAATATGCATGCCAATTTATCTGAGAAAAGGTATTTTACTACTATACTTGCTAAATACAACTATATAATTAATTATTTTTATTATGAAATTATAAATTCAAGTAATAATTGTTTGTGTTGACTGTTACTTTTCCACAGATTTTCTGCCATAAGTGTAAAATAAAGCTGTGGCATCGCAAGCTTCCGAGAAGTCTACTGGAATGTCTGAAATTGCTACAAATTTCTCAATTTCTATTCCTGCTTCGATCATTGCTTCTTTCACCAGTTTCTCGGTTAGGGGAAAGTTATAAAACTTCTCTTTGCCGACATAATAAAACGTATCTCCTAGCACGCCGTTCATAAATAGGTAGCCGTTTGGTTTGAGTAATTTGCAGAGTTCTGCGACAGTATTCTTGTAGTGCACTTCAGACGACACACATGCCTCTAAACACAAACTAGTGGACACAACGTCGAACGGTTTGGCAACATCATCACTATCAAGTTGGACTATTGGAGCATTGTGCGCATCACATGGGATAATAGACTTGATTTTTCGTTTCAGTTCATCAGCGCGATTTTGTACAAAGTCGAGCTTCTCTTCATCTACAATGGTACGTCCTTGTTCGAGTTCAAGAACGATTTCAATTAAAGGCATCCAGTCGTGCGCGTCTGGGTCGCCAGCAATCCACGACTTCACGGCTTGTCGATTTATTTCTGCATACTCGGAAAACACAATATGGTCCACTTTTGAGCAAGCAAAAACGAGGTTGATTATAGAAGGTCCACCACCAAACTCGAGATATCGAACGTCCGTGTCTGTTGGCGCCTTGCCCTTAGGATTAAAGCTCGACCAAAACTCGTGCAATGCTTTAAAAATCGGCAACACAGACCCATCTTCATTTTCGTCTCCTTTCAAGTTTTTATAGTACTGTTTGAGATAGTCTTTTGGGTCAAAATGGGTATGATAATCTTCCTTGAACCTGTAATTTGCCATTTTTGCATGGATTGTGCAATTCCAATAGTTTGAAATTTGATCTATGGTGCTTTGCAAATAAAGGAATTATTGGCATACCAATACAGATTTTATTATCAGTTCTTTCTGCTCTTCAATCTGTTAGCGCAAGGTCAACTCTCTGGCTGAAGTCAGTTGATAACCTACCCTCCTCCCCGTTTACTTGACGCAATATTATTGCATATGTACATTAGTTTAGTTGTTAATTTCTAAGTGGTGGGCGTATTTATTACCCCACCTTTTAATAATTAACTTCGGTTTATAATTATCTCATTGTTTTCAAAAATTAATAAATCAGCATGTGCGTTGCGCAAGACGCACATTGCCATAATTATTCCAGTTGCTGTCTGACTTGGTCAATTGCGCAATGTTCGCGCACAGAAAACAGAGCTATTTTATAACTTAGCGCGTTAGGAAGTGCATTGCACTTCCGACGGAAGTTTCCAGTGAAATATGGACTAGATTCTAGTTCATTTCGCCGTCCAATGTGAAGTTTCAGGATTTAGCTGCTAGTGACGTCCAATAGCTTTTATATCATTTTTCTCAGCTAATTCCAGTTTTTCCTAACGGACCGTGTCACTAACCAGGTTATCCAGTGAATTTCGGCACACTCCTTGCCAAGATGGCGGAAATTGAAGGAGCTATTTGGCGTCAGTTCCAGTCCTTTCTATTGTTTTTGTCTGCGCGGTTAACACGAAGCTGGCTTCACTTTTTGGACTCAAGTTCTCGCTCCATGTATGGAGCTCAGTGGTTAGGTCTTCCCCTTCAGTCTCGATAAATTCCTTCAAGGCATATTCACACAAGACTCAAACAAATATATTGAGATTTTAGTACATTTATCATTTACAATAATTTATCATTTACAATAATTTATATTATTTACTGTCTTATTTTCACACTGAGTAGTAAGTATTCACACTGAGTAGAGCTTTTATTAATTAATTACTACTCACACTGAGTAGTAAGTTTTCACACTGAGTAGAGCTTTTATTAATTAAGCTACGTTTACATGCTGCGATTTGTCGTGTACGGTTCGTATCAGTGGCGTATTAAAATGAGTGCTGGCGCCATAATTCATTGCCGTTTCGTTAAGAAGAAATTTCAAATGTAGCCAGTTTACGTGTGTTGACTCAATAGGGCCATTTATACGGAACAAAATAAGTCGCGACTTACATAAGACGCGACTTAAATAAGCGGAGTTATCGCATAAATGGTTCTCTACGGCTTTGGTCTTATTTATTTGCTATAGCTATAATGTTGTTTTGGTTGTTTTTGTTTTAATATGCAAGCCACTCGCGTCTTACTTAAGTCGCGTCTTATGTAAGTCGCGTCTTATTTTGTTCCGTATAAATGGCCCTAATGACATACGCAGCAAACGAATCGTACACGCAGACCAGTCTTGACAGGAAACTCCAAACTTTTACGTAATGACTAATGTATCATATATTTCGGTTTAAACGGAAATTCAACGCAAAATTTGACTTCCATTTAACTTTTCACTGTATATCAGTCATCTTTATGGCTGTCATAAATTATTGTCATAAAACGGATTATACGTATATAATGTGATCAATCTGTACATAGTTTATCAAACTGTAGTCCCCATGTTTATATAAAGAAATATTTAAAGAGATATAAATAAAAGTGGCGGACACTGGGGGGGGGGGCGGCTGAGCAGGGGAAACTGCCATGTTCTTAGCAAGTGTTTTAAAGAGAGACAGTCACCCCCTGAAAACGTAGGGGGGTGAATGGCTCTCTTTAAGGTAGTTGCTAAGAATATGGCAGCCAGCTAATTTGGTAAAAAACTACCATACGGTAGTTCTCGCAGACGCGAGACCTCTGTATGTAAATACTCTGTGGTTAGAGCTAATCAGCTTTGAACAACCAGCCCCAGGCATGGGAGTCATCCAAAGTTTTGAGTTGGATTACGTTTAACATTAGGCCAAAAATGAGTTGAAAAAAAAGAAACCGCGGTGCATGCACAAAAGTTATTGATTGAAAGTCATTTGCTAGCGCTCATTTCGGTGATTTGATTGGCTTTTGCACCAATCACAAACAAAACGATGGCGACAATGATAAATATACAACCAAGTACGGGAAGTGCGATGAGAATACCGCAGGCCAGGCCAAGTGTACCGATGACCTACAAAATAACAAAGAGTTAAGTTAACCAAAGACCAAGCCCCTAAGTCCTGGGGCCTTAGGCAATGCCCGTAAGACATTAAAAACATGACCTCATTTTTGTCGAAAGACGACCATTGTTAACAGAATGTTAATACTGGGAGTGCACGCTACAACGTCAGTAATATAAATTATTTAAAAATCGCAAAGCTGCAAAATACATGCTGTTCACATGCATAAACACACACCCTATCGTCTGAAGAATGTCATATGAAGGACATTTAAAGGTCAGTGCTCTATGATGCAGTCAACGAACGGTCAAAACCCCTTTGCAAACCTTGATATGTCGAACCACAGCGGTCAAACAAGCTGATTGACTTGTTAACGGGATAAAATATCGCAAACCACACGAAACGCGGGAGCCTATCTACAGACTATATTTACGAAAAGCCTCACGCGGGAATTTCTTGCGAATGCTTGCCCTAGCCCGCCTCATGTGAAAACCCCCTACGTTTTCAATGTCCGAAATTGCGTTACAGAGTCAGTTTTCGTACCTTCTTAGGATTTGGGGCATCTACACTCGTTAATTATAACTAATTGACCATTTGCGTAATAGACTAAATTTTGATCTCAACAAAAATTTCATTACAGCTTGAAAGAGCATCACAAAATTAGTAATATTCCAAAGTTTCGTTGCAAAATGTTGAAAAATGCGGAAAATATAGCCTTGCGAAATTTGCAATTTTCAGTCATTTTAGATTACAAACCGGAAATTGACAGCCTCGAAGGGTTTGGGGCTGTCAATTTGGCGTTTGTAATCTAAAATGACTGAAAATTGCAAATTTCGCAAGGCTATATTTTCCGCATTTTTCAACATTTTGCAACGAAACTTTGGAATATTACTAATTTTGTTATGCTCCTTCAAGCTGTGATGAAATTTTTGTCTAGACTTGTTTAGTTCAAAATTTAGTCTATTGCGCAAATGGTCCATTGTAGAAGGGTTTTGTAGATGGAAATTTCTAGTGTAAATTTTATACATTTATTAGACTTGACCAGGAGCAGTTGCGAAAAATACAACTATAGACCCTCTGGCAGAGACGGATTTTCATATTTTCGTTCGGGGGGGTGGATAAATATCTGGGGGGTGCTGCTGCTTGCTTTGGCCGGGGCGTGGTGGCAACGCCCGGAAAGGCCAAGGAAAAAGTTTAACAAAATTTGTTTTCTAGGCTTGCATGGCGAGATCTGAGATCATAATATTGGTAATTTTACAAATTTAGTAGTAAGAATAATCAAATATGAAACTATCAAATCCAAATATATGTAATTTGCGGGGCTGGCAAATGCCTTTGCTGGGGGGGTGCAAGTCATTTCGGGGTGCGCACCCTCCGCACTCCCCGCACCCAGAAAATCCGTGCCTGCCCTCTGGCAGGAATCGAACCTGCGGCCCTGCGATTCCCGTGCAGCCATCTAATCAATGTACTGAGCCACAGAGGCCAGTTGTCGAGCTCTAACCCTCTACAAGGTCCTACAGAACCCTTCCAGAATTTGTACCTTCTGCTTAATGGTGTCAATATCGTCTTTACTGCCTTCTCCTCCATACTCTCCCCAAAGAACTGGAATACTCTTGAGATAGAGCGTGTCATTTTTCTCAGCGAGATACGAGATGTTCAGTGGTCCCTTGATACGTGCAACTTTTACGATGTCTTTCTTGATTGGCATGTTCAATTGAAGTCGCATGTAAGCTCTTGCTATAATACCAGTCACAGGTTCTATGTCCACCTAGTGAGCAAGAGTTCGTTAGATTTGGAAAATGAAAGGTGAGCATGAAGCAACACAGTCACTTCTCTTTATGGCGTATTTCATACTACTGCCACGTTCATATTAAGGTTGCATATAATTCTGTGATACACCACACGTATTCTATAAGACTTTAGTCAATAATGTAATGGCCTTTTAAAAACTTATCAATGAAGGCTTGAATTACAATTAAAAAAAAAATAGAAAATATATAGAACCTATCCGCAACCCACATTTTCTACCAAACCACAAATAATTCATTTATAGGGTCAGGGTGTGGGGTGGTGTCATGTAGTCAAGATAAAAAAGTATGCTTGTATGATGAAAAACATCAAAGATTCATGGATGGCCATACGATGTATATCATCATACGAAACAAAAGAGTATGCTGCCTGAAGGATCCCTAAATGATGGTGGTGGTGGCGATTATAGTGATTATGGTAATTTCTGTGGATAGTAAAATACAGAAAATAAAATATTATCCTGAGTAATGAATGAATGATAATAATATTTATTCAGGAAACCAACATCACAAGAAGTGTTTTTCAGATGGTTCCTGCAAAACATTAAAATACAAAGTATAGAAAATATATATAGTGTGCGTGCAGTATTTACATATTGGTATATATGGATATATATGATATACCAGAACTGAAAATTATGAGACTATAGGATACATGATGCTATACATATTTGCAAGGATACAAAGATAACGTAAGGGACCGCTCATTATTTATTGTACAGGGGGGGATTGAGGAGAAACTGGGGGGGGCCTTCAAATTTTTCAAAACCTGAAAGGGGGGGCTTTGAAAAAATACAGGGAGACGAAAGAAGGGGGGCTTTGAAAATATTTACCAGTTTGAAAAAACAGTAGTTTTAAAAATGTATCACAAAACAACTTAACAACAAATAACAATATTTATAGACTTTAATATTCATAAATGGAAGTCAAATAAAAAGTCTCTCATGTTCATGTAAATAGACAATTCCCATTATAGACTAATTTTATTTAGAACTAGGCAAAGAGATGCAAATCAAGGCCGGATTTTGGTGAAAATAGTGGGGGAGGTGGACAAAAATTTTAGGAGAGGTGCAGCGGTCTAGCTCACAACTCCCATGGAAAGTTAGGGCTTATTGTAGAAGAGGCCAATATCAACGAGGTGAGGTATGCATGTAGGGTACATATGTACCAGTGTATTAATGAATTATGAATGTATGACTCCAATCTTGCCCTTCATTACAATTGCTACACTGTTTCTTTCAAAACATTGCATTAAAAGGGTGCTTGACATGGCAGCCATATCACTGTTTCAATTTTACAGAGAAAACTTTCTTACGTCACAAAATGTAGATCCTAAGCAACCATCACATTTTCACTTTGTTCCATCATTGAAACTTTCCCAAGGGGAAGTGCATGACCTTTCAAGAGAGGTGGAAAAATTCTCAGGGGAGGTGCAAAACGATCTCTGGGGAGGTGCGCACCTCTCCACACTTCCCTCAAAATCCGACCTTGATGCAAATAAATCACCACAGCTAGAAAGAGCATACTAAAATAAGTAAATTATTGCAAAGTTTGGTTGCGAATTGTTGCAAAATACGGAAAATATAGCCTTGCAAAGTTTGCAAATTTTGTACACTTTTGTATTGCATGCGAAAATTGCAATTATACAAAAGAATACAAAATTTGCAAACTTTCAAAGGCTATATTTTCTACATATTTTACAACATTTTGCAACCAAACTTTGGAATTTTAGTAATTTAAAGCCCCGTTTACACTACGCTCAATTTTTGGTACGGCACGGATAAAATTGGTACCCGTACCACTTTTTTTGTTCTTGGACTACCTATTTAGGTAGTCCAAGAACCAAAAAGTGGTACGGTACCAAAAATTGAGCGTAGTGTAAACGGGGCTTAGCTAAATAGGTAGTCCAAGAACCAAAAAAGTGGTACGGGTACCAATTTTATCCGTGCCGTACCAAAAATTGAGCGTAGTATAAACGGGGCTTTAGTATGCCCTTCCCGGGAATATACTTTTTTTGCTAAGATAAAAAATTAGTCTATAATGGGAATGTCTATTGGTCCCCATTACCTATTTTTCTTTCTCTAAAATAAACAGCTAGAGTTTTTGTTTCTCTAAATAAAGATAAAGAGCTAGAGGGGGGGGGGGAAATTTATGTTCTTGTTTTGCCTGGTGGGGGGGGGGCTTTGAAAATTTTACTTGTCTTAAGAGGGGGGCAACGAAAAAATATTACAACTGTAGAGTTTCTCCTCAGTCCCCCCCTGTACAATAAATAATGAGCGGTCCCTAAACAGAAACACCTTTGCTATTTAACA